ACTAAACCAGGCTGTTGAAAGGGAAACGGTTACATAACATTGAAAACCATCCCCCACATCGAGCGGATGTTGGCGCAAATCAGGCGGTGGCCTGCACTCCTCAAGCAAGCTAATCTGTCCAGCCGACAGATGGGACGCAGGAGCTAGATTCAGTGATAAGAAGAGTTGCTCGCATCGCAATGCAGACAAGGGCCATAATGACAGTTCTGCACGGGTCGCACTTGCAAACTTGCTCGCTGCAGGCTCTCGGCTGGAAGAGTGGATCTACCATGTGCTTGACCAGAACTGCACGGCAAACATGCTTGCCGCCTGCGTAGTGCAGTTCTTTTGCATCCGTAATGTTATGATGAGCAGCCATTCACAACATGCGAAATGGCCATACAGATTGCTCTCGTGTTACCCACTTTGTGGGAACATCATCGTCGCCTTCTGATGAGAATCTGCCCATATCTCCGGGGGGTTTGCGAAAGACATGCGTGTTGTTTTAAATGGTGCAATGCAGGAGTCGAAATCACCAACACGAAAATACCACAACCACCATCCGAAGTATCTGGGCTCGCTCCTGCGCAAGACCTTTCCCAAAAAAGGGACGCCTGCAGTGCATTGAGCTCAACACCAAAGGCTAAGAATGCACATCAAATGTTCCGTGACTTGCGCCTGTGAAGCCATCAAGAAGTTGGGGTCCTAAGCATCATCCTTTGCAGGTTTACACAGACTCTCCACGAAACTTGTGCAACCCTCTTCTGTCAAATCGACGTCAAGCGAACCAAAAATAATTGCGGTGTCAGCACCTACGATCAGGACGGTTGAACAAACATCATTTAACAAGAGAACAAGTCCCGTCTCGATGTGCACTACAGGCGAACACCAAGTTTTTCAGTATTACGAAGGGGTTGCACAGCATTTAGAACAATCCCCCAAATCAAGTGGATGTCGGCGCAAGTCAGGTGGCAGTCACCACTCGTCAAGCAAGCTACATTGCCCAAACGGCGCAGCAATGCAATGACGGCTCTACACGCTGGGTTATGAATGGCGACCATTGCTTGCTCACTCTTGTTGCAATATCCGAAATCCTGATCTAGGCTCTAGAATCTCCGACATGCTCGGCCAGTGTTGCTGGGCAAAACAAACTGATTCCGGCTTCTACAGCCAAGATGTGCGGTCCCCCAAACCTCCGGATTTCTTTAATAGGACATGCATGCAGATGATTCCAAAATTATGGAATGCAGGAGTCGAAACCGAAGCTTTTGGGATCTTGTAATGCTCTGTATGAGCAAGGACCTTTCTGAAAGGCTTTGCGTGAGGGCGGCCTTCGGCCATCCCGGAGTCTGTATCACACGTGAATGGAAAAACAGTTACCGCCCCGATGTAAACTAAACCAGGCTGTTGAAACGGAAACGGCTACATAACATTGAAAACCATCCCCCCACATCGAGCGGATGTTGGCGCAAGTCAGGTGGTGGCCTGCACTCCTCAAGCAAGCTACTCTGTCCAGCCGACAGATGGGACGCAGGAGCTAGATTCAGTGATAAGAAGAGTTTGGATTCGCTCGCATCGCAATGCAAACAAGGGCCAAAATCACAGTTCTGCACGGGTCGCACTTACAAACTTGCTCGCTGCAGGCTCTCGGCTGAAAGAGTGGATCCACCATGTGCTTGACCAGCACTGCACGGCAAACATGCTTGCCGCCTGTGTAGTGCAGTTCTTTTGCATCCGTAATGTTATGATGACCAGCCATTCACAACATGCGAAATGGCCATACAGATTGCTCTCGTGTTACCCACTTTGTGGGAACATCATCGTCGCCTTCTGATGAGAATCTGCCCATATCTCCGGGGGGTTTGCGAAAGACATGCGTGTTGTTTTAAATGGTGCAATGCAGGAGTCGAAATCACCAACACGAAAATACCACAACCACCATCCGAAGTATCTGGGCTCGCTCCTGCGCAAGACCTTTCCCAAAAAAGGGACGCCTGCAGTGCATTGAGCTCAACACCAAAGGCTAAGAATGCACATCAAATGTTCCGTGACTTGCGCCTGTGAAGCCATCAAGAAGTTGGGGTCCTAAGCATCATCCTTTGCAGGTTTACACAGACTCTCCACGAAACTTGTGCAACCCTCTTCTGTCAAATCAACGTCAAGCGAACCAAAAATAATTGCGGTGTCAGCACCTACGATCAGGACGGTTGAACAAACATTATTTAACAGGAGAACAAGTCCCGTCTCGATGTGCACTACAGGCGAACACCAAGTTTTTCAGTATTACGAAGGGGTTGCACAGCATTTAGAACAATCCCCCAAATCAAGTGGATGTCGGCGCAAGTCAGGTGGCAGTCACCACTCGTCAAGCAAGCTACATTGCCCAAACGGCGCAGCAATGCAATGACGGCTCTACACGCTGGGTTATGAATGGCGACCATTGCTTGCTCACTCTTGTTGCAATATCCGAAATCCTGATCTAGGCTCTAGAATCTCCGACATGCTCGGCCAGTGTTGCTGGGCAAAACAAACTGATTCCGGCTTCTACAGCCAAGATGTGCGGTCCCCCAAACCTCCGGATTTCTTTAATAGGACATGCATGCAGATGATTCCAAAATTATGGAATGCAGGAGTCGAAACCGAAGCTTTTGGGATCTTGTAATGCTCTGTATGAGCAAGGACCTGCTGAAAGGCTTTGCGTGAGGGCGGCCTTCGGCTATCCCGGAGTCTGTATCACACGTGAGATGGAAAAACAGTCCGAAATCAGAGCGTATGTGTCGGCATCGGCGATTGATTTGAAGGTCAACCTGGGCAAGGAACGAGCACTCAAATTGACTGCCATGTGACCCAAGTGCCGGCCTTGGGGAACTGGTCCTTTTTGCTTAGTTAACTAAACTTGCGGTAGCTTTCCTTCCACAACACTCCTTATATGGGGTCTATCGTGGGCACGAACTGAGTCGCTTCGTGTTTGTCGATCCACACGTTTAAATGCTCCCCTTATCATGCTAAATGGGATTTGAAAGTGATGTTCTTCGCTCTGGACTTGGTGATCAGCGGACGCAGAAAATGTCGCATGTTTGGTTTGTGGCAGTCTGGGAAGGTCGTACTTGGGCTCACAAATGCAAGTCACGGGCGCGGTGTGGAGGGTCTAGGAAAAGAGGCTTTGAATAGACAAGAAAATCGGTGGGTGTTTGTAACATTTTTGGCACATGCGTCTGCAATCGCTTCGCTGCATCCTCTAACAAACGAGCAGCTTGAAGTCTCTTGCACGTTTGTGCATGCTTTTGTGGTGAGCTGCTTTCGAAGTCGCTGGTATTGACAGAGTTTTCGGTGTGCTTGCATTGGACAGAGCTCAATGGCATTTACATTCTTCGGGGCGCTTCCGTAACCCCCGGCTCCCTGTTGCTATTCCGAATGTGCACTTTAAATCGGACTGCAGGCTGTACGACCGTTCTTGTTGACGGGAAGCGTCGGAGGGCTTCTTCATGCTTGTTCTTTCTTTCATGTCAACCTGGCTTCTTCCAGCGGCACCAGGCATCGCCACATCTCGCGTTTTGCAAAGGCGTTGGGTAAACCTGCGCACCGCCAATCAAAATGACACTTGATTTAAACACCGGAAAGTCCTGCTGCAGAGACCCCCCCGGATCCTAATCAAACTTTCGATGCCGGCTCGAAGCGTACCGTCTTTAAGCTTACTCTGTGCACATAGGAACATACAAAATTGGTGTTCATGCTTAACAGCGTATGCATGTGAACACACCATACTCCTGCATGAATTCAGCTGAATTGAAAAGCTTGGCCTCTCAATCAAGATGTATGACCAGCCCATGAGCAGTGTGTGGATTTTTCCCAACATGAGCTTGCTCTCAATGCGCGTGCGCATGTACTGTGAACAATGCCTGGCATCATAACATCCCGTCTTCTGTAAGTCTCCGGCTGTCCATATGTTGTCATGACGGTTGGCTTCGTGAGAGGTGTCGGTTTTCGAAGATAGATGGGATCCAACGTTCAGGTGCTTTGTGAAAAACAAGCAGTTCTATACAAGAACGGTTCTTGACGCGATCGTTTCAAACCTCAGCAAGAGTCTCAAGAGCATCCGTAGCCCCGCCTGGTCAGCGTTGAGGGACCACAGCCACGCTGCTTGACAAATCATTGTGCTCCGTTGCTTCGATGCTTCGGAGGTCTTCCGAATCAGCATCGGACCCGAAGGTAATGCCAAGCTCACTGCAGTCTTTCTGGAAGTCGCTTTCAAGGACGACATCATCATCGAAAGTGATACCCGCAAGCTGGCATGTGACCTCGGGCGGCATAGCTTCGTCATCTGGCATCGTTGCATCGTCGTCATCGTCCTCAAAGCAGATGCCGAAAACCTCAAGCTCCTGCTGCAGTTCCTGCTCGGCAGCCAGCACGTTGTTTCCCTGCACAGTAAGACGGATACTGCTGCGGCCACGTTGTACAACGGCTTGTTGGCTGATGGCAGGGCGAGCGATGGACACTCCGACCTGCATGCCTGGTACTGCTTTGCCTCGTAGGTAAAGCGGCAGCTCACCGCCAAAGCCACTGTGAATGAACTTGTCACTCGGGAGTGCGGCATTGCCGAGCAACCGCAATGTGGATGACTTGGGCCTGAGGTAGATGGAGACGAGGAGTGCGTGATACGGCATCACACCGTCCAATTCAATTTCTCCATCAGCATCTGCTTGGAAGGTGGTGATGGTGGCGGTTTCCTGACAAGTCGGTCTAGCACGGAGATTTTTGTTATCGGACAGCAAAAGCTTGAACCAGTCTGAAGAACTGCCTCAACATCCTCGCAAAGTCCCTCATCCTACTCTTGCCAGTTCCAACCAGCCCTAGCAAACATGTGGCTGTGTGCAGTATACGATGCAAATTTCAGAGCGATTCACAACACAACGGCCTGCTGGAGTTCGCTCCAGAAGTCTGTTTGTAAGTCTTGTTGTTGATCTTAGGTTCTCTCTCTCCTCTGTCGCTCTGTCTGCCGTTTCAGGCATTCAGCGGCACGTGCTCCTACTTGACTCGCACCAGTTATCTGGACTTGTATCTACCAGGATCGATGAACTCGAACCAGGCACGGGACACAAGGTGTCGGTCGAACAAGTCCTCAAGTAGGCTAGGCTGGCGTGCCAAAGGATGAAAGCTCTCTTCTCTCCATCACTCCTTCCCGCCATGCCTCCCTTCCTCAGTGGACAAAGCTCTGCCAAGTCGAACCCTGTTTTGTCCGTTGGCGACTTGTTTGCTTTCCCCCTTATCGCCAGAAATAAAGGACGGTGTCACGTGAGTGAAACCTGAAACTGTGTGCTTGCATCCTGAAGACCAATTGGAAGCAGGCTACAGGGTGCCCTGCGATCTCCCAGCGGGCGCATAGCTGGGAGCGCCGTCCTTGATCCTGCCACTCTTCTCCTGCACTGCAGTTGCTATGGAAGTTGCTTCAGGGAGCCTGGAATGCAGGAATACCTGCACCATAAGCTCAATGAAACCGTTGGGGCGTACTGTTGTTTTGCGTAAGAATATATTCACCTGAAGAGATTTTGCGTCCCTCCCCGACGTATGCAACCTCCGTTAAATAGCAAGGCCAACCTGTTTTTGCAGCGAGGTTTGGCACCGCTTTTGGGGATTGCTCGCGGATGACTGGCGGATGTTGCTCTGTCAAGACATTGTCCACGGTATTGAACTTAAAGCAGTCTCAGACTACAGCGTAACAAAGAGCAGATCCCGCGCAATGCTGCGTCCCAGAAGCTCTTCTTGACAATGCGAAAGCTCTAGCGAACTCAGGCCTGACACCGTCATGTTCCGCAAGGTCACCTGACATTGAGGGGTTTAGGCTCTGGGACAAATGACATGTGAAATACGTGCAAACGTTTACGGCTTTGTATAGTCACTACAACAAAACCGGCGAACTGCTTCGCGGATCTGGGGGAGGATGCTGTCTACGCGATGCTGATTTTGTGTCGAAGTGAAGCAAGCTTCGAGTCAAAAGCAAGTACCAGCCAGTCCAGGTCTGAGGGCCCCTGATGTCGCAGCGGTGCATCACTTTTAGAAAACCGCTGCAGCCTTGAACCTCCATGTTGAGAGTAAGATTGCACACGTGATGCTCTTTGGATTCATTGCCTGAGCCACTGTCGAGCTTGCAATGATACGACCCTTTCGGTTCACCTGGCAGAGCTCACTTGTGACCTTCGGCCTGGCTTGTGCCTCTCATGCTCCTCATTGCACCATGAAGGCTCGCGCGTGTCCTTCGTGCTTTGTCTCGGCATCCTCCCTAAGCCTGCTCTCCTTGCAATCTTTTTCTTCCGGATCGGATTCTGAAGCGAAGGTGCGCGGGCGTGCAGACGCGACTCTTAGGCCCAACCGGAACGGCGAGCTTCTGCTGGGCTGTCTCAGGCGCTTCAGCGGCACTTTTTCGGTTTAGCTTTTCCGAGGTCGTGCTGGGAGACACCTTTCAAGGCCAGGTTGAGCACATCCAGGGGAGATCTGGAAGCGCTGTCTAACATCAGGTTGATTTCCGATTGGGGTTGGGCCCTCGGATCGATTCACTCCTGGCCTGTTGAGCTTCGGGCTCACAGAGGGCTTAACAGCCTGTGATCTTCCCCTTTGAGCCCATCCTTCCGGGGTCGGTGTCTTACTTAGAATCCGGTACTCTGCCGTCGAGGTCGCCTTGTAGCAGTGATCGTCCTTGGCATGGAAGGGCAAATGCTCGTCAAGGTCGATGTTGGCAGAATGCCTCGAGCTTTTCAGAAGTCTTCCTTCCGTGTTGAGTTTCTGGCAGTTCAGTCAGCCAAAGCTCCTTGAGCTTGTACCACAAAATGAGAGGAATCGCATCAACTTAAGACGAAGCCTTGTGTGTCCCCTCACTTGGCCAGAAACTTCTTATGCACAACCGTATCGGAAGATCACACTGTCTGTCTGGATTTTTTCATGAATCTGTTCAACCAACCGTCTGAAAGACAGTCTTCAAGCCACGACATCGATCTACTACAACAGCAGCCAAAAATGGGAGGTGCTGAGTTCCAAAGGCTTTCATCCTGATTGGGGTCCTGATCACGACTTCTATGCTCGCCGCCCCACACCAACTATAGATCTGTCTTGGTAACCTCGGTAACATATGCGAAGCTTTTGTATGAAGGGATGACGCCTGCTTCTCAGGCTGGCCCAACCAATCCTAACGAACTAAACAACTGCTGCGTGTTATTGTGGCCACCGTAAGCCGATGTCCCAGGCGCACGAACAGGAGGACGACAGTGGCCTAGGCATGAACTTTGGGCAAGCCTCTTCATAATACCTATCTATCTTGGCTCATGAAAAGGAGACTATATGACATTGAGAGCGATTCGCGGCTTCATCGGACATGTGTTATTCGAAGTTCGACTTTTGAAACTGCTTCTGAGGGGCATTGGGAGAAGGGGAGAATACCCTATGCACGCATTACACAACCTTCGCGGTGGATATTGTTTCTCATGCGAAACATTGTTTCACATGTTGCTTCATGGGGTGATTTTCTCGCGGCCTGGTCGGTGTGAGCCCGTCCTATGCACACATCATGCTACACTTCACCATAGATCTGAGCATGTCGTCGGACAGGGACGGGTAGGACAGAAGCTACGAAGCTGCCGCGTATGCAAAACTCGGCACGGATACCGCTTCCAGGTCAAGGCAGTATAGATCTCGGTGTGGAGTATGGCAAGAGAAGGCGAGCAAGGTCTAGTGTAGCTGGTTGTCTGAGATGTAGTTGCCTGGTGCATGCTCGCTTCCCTCCTTGGGCCCGTACCATCAGCAAGGGAGTCCTGAGCGCAGTGAGGAAATGCTTAGGATCCGAATCTGAGGCACTTTCAGCTCGAGTTCATCGGAAAGCGCCTAGAACCTAAACTTCGCAAGGCAAGCGGCTGCTAGCTGTGTTTGCAATTCACTGAGGTTCAGGTGGCTCTAGTACAGTACTCAATGGAAGCCGGTCGCAGGAGCGAGCAGCTAGCTTTGCTTAGCAGCAGCAAAAACAGAAGAATGCAAGCCCACAGCCAACAGGCCCAGTTCAGCCTTTCTGGCAAAAATTTGATTCCTGATTGAAAGATTTCACCAGTAGCTGTCTATTTCTGATCACCTCTGTTCCAGCCGCTTCACTTTCAGTACGAGAAGCAAATTTTGAGAAAGAGGAGAACATCTTAGAACTTTAGGCAGTCTGACTAGCTGCTTCCAGGCAGGAACACTGCGGGGCACCGTTCTCAAGATCGCGGACCTGGGCCACCCTGCAAAATGAGAGAAAATGCCAGCGTCTGCGCGGCGGAGTACATCCAGTCCAAGGTGTCCTGCGGAGCAAGGCTTTGGCACTCACAATTGCTGCAGCTTGGAGGAGACAGTGGGCCACTACTTACACCTACCTTCATTAAGGCTTGGGGATTTGAGCTCTAAGGGTCTTTCAACATCAAGGCCAATTGTGCGGCTCTTGACTTCGGCGATCCCGGGCATGGACACCTAGCATTGGTGAACCGTGTCTGTTAGTTGAATAGGCATCACCTTGCAACTTGAGGAGTGAAGGCCTCTGTAAACCCATCCCAGAGCCTCCAACGCCTCCTTCTGTCTGCTCATAGGATTGACAATACGATCCGTATCCCAGTAACTGCCGAGATTCTGGGATGAACATGGCTGAGCAAAAGCCTCTGTGTTGGTGACACGTTGGCACAGATGTGCGGATTGAGCCGGCCCGTCATCCTTGTAGCTCACCATAGACTGGAAGATGCAGACCTGGGCAACTGCTGGATCTGGAAAACTCTTTTGTTGATTCTTCTGAATCTGGCATAGGACTCAAAGCACATATGATTGCAGGGGGTTCTTAAGTTGGGACCTGGATGTTCGACTCTCGCTTACTGGGATACTAAGATCTGTCTGCATTGTACTGGCGTGCGGCTGCCCGTCTCCTTGGGTAAGAGCAGTGCGACGATAAGAACAGATGAACTGGTATTCAGGTGCAATCCTTCCTGCAGTGATGCACTGGCTTGCACCAGTAAGCTTTGCAGGCCGGGGAGTCACTTTCCCTGCCTCAACGACTAAGCATCTTTTTTGCGTGCGTGTTTCTCTTCCGAGGTCTTCGTTTCCAGGGGTCTTGATTTGCCGGGGTTCATTGGGGCAGTCAGCCCGTTGGCAAAAGCATCCGCACTGCACGAAGCCCGGTTCCATCTTGGGGAACTTTCCTTTCCGAGCTCACACCGCAGGCGAGCGCAAGAAACGCAATGGATTGAATCCTTACGGGAAAGACGGTCTTTGCTTTAACAGGTATGCCGACCCATCGTAGGCTGGGTAGGGTTGAGCCCATGCCGCAAGAAGTCACACGCGCTCCCCCCTGCTTGCTTGGCTGATTGCTGGCACAGCGTTGAGTTAGACGACGGGCTTTCCGAACAGCCTCACGTCCTTTGGAAGCCACATCCGAGTTTCAGGGTAGTGCAGGAACCCGCGATCCCGACAAAACCTGAATGCCACTCGGCGAGGCACGGCAGTGTTCCTCATTTTGGGAGGCGGTTTAGGGTTTCGGCCCCTGAACGGCGGGACTGCTGTTGTACGTCAAGGACTCTGAGCCGGCAGTCCGGAATAAACTGACTCGTTCTGCAAATGGACGGCTGCCGTTTTCTGGAACTGGCTCAGGCTGCAGCAACTAGGATGCAGGTCAGCAGGTAGGTAGAGATGAAGGTCCTGGCGGAATCGCCACATACTCGCAGAGTTACCGGGAAACGATAATGAGGGTCTGGGGTTCCAGGAACTGATTCTGATTTCCTGTGTGCAAGAACTCAGTGTACTCTCACAAAAGCATACACAGAACTGAATCCAAAACGACAAGTCAAGAGGCCTGACTTCACAAGGTGCCGAGCAAAACCGAGAGGGGCAGAGAGTAGAGGACGATCAACACATTCTGAACCTACGACATATACACGATAGGGGCAGAGAGTAGAGGACGATCAACACATTCTGAGCCTACGACATATACACGACATGCACAATAAAAGGGCGCTCCTCCAAACTGCCCTGCTTTCCCAAGCCGCTGTTCACACGAGGAGCACATGGTAGACATACTTTAGATTTTTGCGAAGACTCCAGTCAGAATTGCTGCTGAAGAATGGAGGCTACATCGCAACCGCGGCACGTCCCCGAAAATCTTTTGATTACTCCGGTATAACGGTAGGTGGCAATGCAATTTCATGAGCTGTCCAGAAGATGATGTGACGCGTCTTCAGCTCCATACTCCGAAGCTTCTCGAACAGGGGCATCCTGGGAGAGCAAACGATCTGGGAGACCGTCTGAGGGCATCAAACACGGTGTCCCGAAAGGCTGCACATGGGGTTTGTGGGACAACTTCATGTGGCAAACTATGGAGGGAACTGGTCGGTCACTTTGTCTTCTGACCACTCCGTCGCTGATCTCCCCTCCCTGTTTGGCCAAAGCGGGCAGGCATGATCGTCCCTTCAATCATGCACCGCTTGTTTGCAAGGCCGAAGCCCGGAGGTGTATGCACCTCCCCGTTTGCTGCGGCCCTTGCAATCATGCACCATGCGGAGAAGGTGTGGATACAGTTGATGTCCAGGTTAGTTATTGGATGTACTCATGGGAACTGAACTCTACGGCTCCTGCATCAAGCGTCCCTAGGTGTCATAACAGCCCCACAACTTCTCCAAGTGCTGTCACTTTGCTTCTTTGTACTGACTAACATGCACACGGATGTCAAATACGGACATGCGATGCCCATTCAACATAATAATTCCAAGACCAGTGAACTTTTTAGAAACGTCGGCCCCGTGATATGTTATGCCTCTGCGTATGTTTGTTCGCTCCTATAGACCTGAGATAACGGACCGCCTCTATGCATGAATCATGCTGGACATCATTCAAAGGGCTCCTGGCTCCTACAGTCATGACTTTGCAAGCTCAGAAACAATGCCAAGAACGGCAGCAGCCCCACCATCGCGGAGACCCAGGCAACCACAGCGGTACGAATCAGCTGCGCCAGAGGATCCTGGAAGATGCTGCATCCTGGCCGTGGCAGAGCCTTTTCAAAGAGTCTTCCGAGTGATAGCAGCCTCTCTCTCCAATGAGGCACCTCACAGCGAACACGAGCAACCAATTACAGATATTGCCAGCAACCGAACTTGTTCACGATAGTACAAGGTGGCATTCAGGGGCACTGTTGCCGACATAAGCTGCCGATTGATGCCCGATGCAAACAGCCCGTAAATAAAGTTTCTCTCCATCGGAATGCCTAAAACCCGTTGCCCCGAATCTCTCGAACGCCGACACGCCGTCCTTCGTCTTGGCCTGGAGCCACGGCAGATTGGCTATAGAAGACGGCAGCAACCGCAAGTCCTGAGCTCTGGGTTCCTCAATAGGCCTTGAGCCTCCAAACTACTATTAGAATAGGGCTTCGGGGCCCACTGTACTTTTTTTATAACAAGGAACCCCAAAATAGTATAGGCAATTATTAAGGCCCCTATGATGCATGCCGGGGTTCAAACCTTCGGGAAGCTCAAGTATCGGAAGGGTTGGATGGGTGGCAGGTTCGGCATGGTTCTCTTTGTAAAGGGTAAGGGCAGTTCAAGAAATCGAACGAGCCCTGTGCAACTCCCAACTAACACATCCCTGATTCCAGATTTCAGCTGCAAATTTTGCCAGGACCTGGTGAACTGGATGTGACATCGTAAATGCGCTTTGTTGTTAAACACCAGTCTGCTGAACCGAACCTCAACATCCTGAAACTGCAAGCCACACAGCCTCTGTTTTAAATCAAGCGCTCCATATACGTATGCATCAAGCTAAATCTCAACAAGTCCCTGTCCATACCATAGAGACAGAGAGAACGTGGATACCCAGAAAAGACTTAGTCGGATTATGGAAGGGTTGCGACCTTAGACACTGATCCATTCGTCTGAACCTTGTTTTCACAATTCCCTTGATGGGCTCTGCACCAGTCATCACGGCATCCAAGGGGCCACTGTAAAATTTGCAAAGCGCCACGGCCGCACGCTCCAAGCAGGTCACTCGCAAGGATGGCTCCAGAACACGCACCCACGAGCAGTAGGCTGTGTGCCTGTCCCAGCGCCATGCCCAATGGGCTACCAAACTCTGGGACTGGGCTTTCGTGGAATCGTATAGGCAAAGGAAATGTGACGGGAATATGAGGATAAGTGTACGTATGGTGAAGTGCTGCGATGTTTTGAAGTCCTATCGGCCACTCCATCGTAAGGGTATCGCCATAGGTCGGGGAAGGTACTGCAAAATATTCCTTCAACCACTGATGAGTGCGCCCGTACATTGGGGAGCTTCCTGAAGCCCCTTGAATGCAACTCAAAAGGAGCGGATGCGTGTTTGTCAGGACGTCGTGAGGCCTTCTGTCTGTAGGACCCGGAGCCAAAACTTCTTTCCCCTAAACAAGGCCAACGGAGTCGTGGGAAGACAAGCGGAGCAGGGGTGGACTCCCAAAACCAGTGTCCGCCCCTACCTCACAATAAGCCGGGTCGTTGTGGAGACAAAGAACGCCTCACTCGGCATCCCAACAGGAACCCAAGAGTACGTGAGCCGCGTGGCAGAGCGACGAGGCGTCTGCAAAGGCCCGCTGCGTGGAAGTTTTCAAGGAGCTGCCTCGCTTCGATGTGCAAGGCCTCAGCTCGTCGCATGGACCACACCAGGGATCGCCCTTGCATGCTGTTGATGTTTCGTCCGTTGAGACAAGCGTGCCAGCAGTCTTCACGGACGGTGCAGCGACAGTGTGAACAATGGCAGGAGGAACTGGGCCTGAACAGAGTGCATGTTGGCAACCGCAAGTCAGAGTGCAGGGACCTCCCGTCTCCGATTTCCTGAAAACAGGGCAGAGGGTCCAATACAGATCTCTTGGAACCATTTACTGTGACTTCGGACGCGCCGTTCTACGGTCTTTGAATGTGTTCACTCCAAGCGTTTACGTATATCCCTAACGAGCTTCAGATGATCGACACCGAACGCCAGTGTCGAGACAGAATAAGCGACCGCCAACCTGGGCTATTGCGTCTTCCTCTAGCTTCAAGAGCTAACCGAAACTGCCACGACATCTAGTTGAACGCAAACCCTTTATCCTGCCAAAACATTTCTGCCGGGAGACGGTCTGGCCACTTACCTGGTACAGGGAATGCAGGAAAGTGGAGTCGACACCTGGCGACATCAGTCAACGGGAACACAGTCCCGCCCCTGCTATTTCAGCTTTTTGACCAGGGCTTGCCTAGCCGAAAAAAGCGCAGGACTGTAGCACTCTTGGAGATTAGCAGCCGTTCGTCCAAATCCCATATCCATGTCTTCGATGGGGGTCACTGAGCATCTCAATTGACAAGCCACCATCAACAACACGGCTGCAATGCAACCCCCTCTGACTGAGGAAGGGTCTCACGACCAGTGTGCTGGAAGTCTGCGAGACTCGATCCATGCAGGACGCCGAGAAGCTTTCATGCACATGTGCCTCCTTTCGAACACTGTAGAGCTTTCAGAACTATCACCGTATTAACTCCTACACCCGCCCTAGGACAGACAATCGTTCGGCAACCTCATCAACATGCTGACGCCCACCCTTTCAAGCCCAAGCGGGGTCGTTCCAGGCCTAGCCGTGCCTGAAGGATGCTCCAGTGGGCCCGGTCCGCCACCATCCCCCGAGCGCCCATGCCAAGGAGCCTCAAACATATGTCCTCCCCTCACTCCCCTCAGCAGGGACAATGGCCGGTCTGACGCTCTGCAGGCAAGTCGCTGTCGCCGAATCTCCAGCAGCCTCGACGAGCCGTGGAGCGTGCTCACGGCATCATTGAGTACTGAAGTAGTAGTGCATCGAGGGACGGCATTTTCGGACTGCTGTCTCAAACCGTCGGTTTATTTTGCATGACTAGAGTTTAAGCCTTCGGGTGAAGGTAACCTTTCAGCGAATCACGAAATGGATGTGCATGCACTTGTAGCAGCCAATCCTGGCCAATAGACGGTTTCGCCCTATCAAAGTTACAGACTGGTTGCGAAATGCCGCGTCCGCAGAAGAACTATCTGGGGAGACGTGCCCTAGCGTAGTAGTCAGCCCGTCTCCGGTCTCTACTGTCGACTTGCAGCAGGTCAGGGTCATGCACGGAAAAGAGGATGGGAGCAGTCGGCTGGCTGCTGGATACATACAGTCATTTCCATGGATAGGTGCTGGATGCATGAAAGTGTGCAGCCCGACCTGTGCTTAGGAGTGCTCAGCATTCATACGTACTCCACCATAATGCAACTATTCCGCTTTTGAAGAGTCTTCAGGACCTCGAATTATGAACCCTATCCGCCATGGCCACAGTGCAAGTGGCCGTCTCCCATGCACCGAAGGGACGTGAACAAGTCGATTCGGGTTTCGACAGAGCTTTGCAGGCCTAGCGTGGGCGGCTGATTCCCTCTCCGAGTGCGCGGCTGTCTCAGCTTCACAAAGAAGATGTTCTCCTTCTTCGCTTTCTCTATCAGCATGTCGCCTCGATTCACTGATTTGCTGTTACAGGAAATTGGCTCCATCAGGTTTGGGCTGACAATATCAGGCTTGACCTCGTTGTACGCGCCAGATGAAGGGCCCTGGAGCCCAACCCAAGGATACGCTGCAAACGACCACCCCTATGTAGCTTCAAGAGAGGACTTCGCAAAACAGGTGTAAGCTGAATAAACTAATTTAGGTTGCTATCAATGGGAGCAGGCGGCAAGCTGAATTTGGTTTAATAGCGGCTTGTGCGTGTGTCACGTATAAACCTCGATCGCCCCTGTGATGCCGGACAGGGCTTGACCACGTCCTACTCGCCCTCTGAACCCGAATACAAGGCCTGAAATTTACTTACCGTTGGATAGTAGGGAATGGAAGGATGGTAGTAATAGTAGTTAAAATTATACCCCATTCCTCCATTCCCTACTAACCAACGGTAAGTTTAGGCAGGTGGACCGTTGAGGCGAGGCACGTGCAGCCTCCTTACGCAGGAGCTGTTCCAGGCGCTGCTCGTACCTTTTTCCGTCCCAGGACGTTTAAAGAGACGACTTGATTGAACAAGGAACTACCAGTTAAGTGCTATCTACAGTCTGAGTAGCGCGCCGATCTATATTTACTGTATGCACTTTTTGCCAGCTGTTGTGGAGAAGGGTTGAAAGGAGTCGCAGCTGGGGATCATTCCACCGTCTGGGCACGCTTTTTTCTAAAGTGCACAAGCATTTCGGCAGCACACAGATTCAGGGTCGCGAGAGGCCGTGCCGTACATACATGTATAACGTGCACGCACATCATCGTGAGCCGCCTGTGGCGGGGTGGAAGAACGAACAAGTTGCCACAACAAGGATCGAGGTACTGCCTGTCTGCTCGATGTGCTTGCAACAGCAAGGCGACACCCGCCACCAGGATCACCTTCGGATTCTGGGATTTCCAAACTAGCTTGCATCGAACACCCAGCATGGCTACTAAGACATCCCTATGACAAAAGGTGAACCTACTCCTGGAGCGTGCGCTTCAGAATGCTTACGCAGCCTCGGAAGCTCTTCCAAGGCTTTCCATGTGCAAGGGATGTGGGGTGACGGCTTTCAACAACATGTTCAAAGCCTGTTGACACTCACACTCATGACTGGCAAGGTCTCAAACGACAGTCTGACAAGTCTCCAGCTGTCATGGTCGTGAAGCCTGTATGGCCGTGAAGTCCGTAGTAGACTGTGAACTAAGCATGCTAAAGTTCTGCAGCAAAGCTGGAAGTTATGGGGCTGTTTGGCTTCGGAGTTTGCATTCTCGCGCTGCAGCGGTCATACGGTGAGCATTCGGGATTTGCAAGTCAAGGCCGAAAGGCCTTGACATGTTCCTTGGATTGGAAAAGCTGGATTGGAACACCTGAAAGAAGCTACAGACTATGGATGGGCGAAGAAGTATAGTCGGAAAAGTAACAGTCTTCGAGGGAGACCGTGTGGAACGAGCCCCACGCACACACAACCGGACTGACGACTGAAAATGCTGCCGGGTCTCCCAAGTCATGATCGCGGGCCAACGAACGACCCAGTTTGGGTCTGCCACCAGAGCTTCCAGGCCCTGCCACGCAGATGGCCAATCTGATGGTTTCTACCAAGATCACCGAAACGAAGCCACCGCGGTTTATGGACACATCAACCCCAAAACAAAACATGGGGGTACCATGCCTGAGAGTCTTTTCCACATCAGGTTCACCACGCCAACAGCCGTACCACACACATAGATCGCGATCCCCAGAGGCCCATAAACGTCGTACAACTTTACAAGGTAATGCTCGGGCCGACGTGGGCCAGACTCGAAAGCACGGAGAACCTAGACCGAGACATTTCTGAAGTACCACAAAGCCAAGCGGTGCAGCTTGATGTGAATGTTGCACTACAGCCGAAAAGGATACACCAATGTGCAGCCACTGTTCACTTCAACATGACAAGAACTCCACGATGCCACTGTCGCTTTTAAACAGTTGCAGGGGGATGATGTTGGCAACGTGGCTTTCCGTGAGAGTTCATGTGTTTCGGGCACGTCGTGGGACGATTGCCGCAGCTTAACGAGCTAAGACGATTATAGGCGTCATGACCGATGCGTTCGGAAAAAATGCGGTATCTACAAACTTCTGTTGACGTCGACTTAGCTTTAGCGTCATCCATGATATCAAGATCCAGGGCACACTCTGGCCAACGAAAGCCAAAGAGGTGAGCCAGAGAAGAGCGGCGTGCATCACACCCACCAGGAGAGTGTTGGCCAAAGTCACCCCGCGCCAGTGCAGAAGTGCGACATTCCGAAGAACAACCTGTACTCTACCCCGGCCCCCAATGTGTAGAAACACTGCGCGCCAAGAGGTACGCAATAACTGAATTAACAAGCGAAGCAGTAACGAAATTAGTCTAACCATCTGTATATATATATATATATCTAAACACATGTAGGTGCTGTATGAATATGTGCGTTTGTAGTGTAGACACATAGACACATGGTACAAGTCCGTATCACGTATATGGCCATATTCGTTTAGTTTCTGTTAAAAACTACATGAACACGATGCACCTGCGCAGGAACGTGCATGCCGCCTCTTAGTATCTGCAAGCTAGTCAGCCCTGTCCCTCCGTCGCCTCCACGGAGAAGATCTGCGAGGCTAAGGAGCAGGCGAAGGTCGCACCAACGGCTTGCAGGATGAAGCCAAAGAGACTCGGCTTCCTGTCACGGAAGAGACTGGTTTTAGGGAAAATGGGTGCCGAAAAGAGCCTCTCTAGCTCTCCGAAGAAGCCTACTAAAGGCAGTGACAAAGGTTATCTGGGCTTGCAGAAACCACCATCGGGCCTTTTCAACTTCCGCAACCGTTGTTCCTAATTCTGCCGTGGACTTCTTAAATACTAGTTTGCCCTTAAATTCGTCTGCTTAGAATAGGCTACGCTAGGAACGGTGACGCCGAAGACACGCAGAACAATACTACTGGTAGCAGTTTACATCATATTGCGCCCATTCCGCAAAGCTTTGTAGACCTGGACCTGCTGAGCCCTCAAGCTTTCGCAGGATCCTCTAAACTTTAAGCGTTAAGCCCTGCATCCACTGAACAAGACGAGGCTCCTGGGCGGCAGGGCTTCGACCTGCAGGCTGGAGACTCTTTGAAACATACTTCTGTAGAGGCAGAAGTTGGCTTTCGTCTTGAGTTTCCATCTAAAGACTTGCCGCAAGGGATATGCATTGAAGGGTCCATAGAAAAATATCCAAATCTGGACACACTCAGATTCGAAGTCCAAATGAAGAGTGGAGTCATGGGGGGTTGATCATATTGATCCCGCGTGCTGGACAGAAAAGTTGCTCGTCCACCTCAGACCGTAAAACTGATCATGCCGTTTGTACTTTGCGTGTACATACTTACGGATTCTTGCCACTTGTCTAAATCGGGTGCCCAAGTATGCAAATTCCACAATACACGCATGGAGTTACCAGGACAAACGAGGATAGTTGGAAAAACGACCATTAAACAGCTATTGCCACTTGACCAGTTGCTCTAGGGGTACCGCAGAACATCCGTCTGTGCATCAGGTCGTCTTCGGCATGTGCTTTAAGGGATCTGAACGAAGACTAACCACTCCATTGCATTCCCCATGGCGCCCGCCGCCCGCGAGTTGCACAGGTGCCGCAACCCCTGAAGGCCTCGCCGTCACCATCCTGGGCCTCACCGTCACGTGCAGACACCACTGGTAGCAGGTCGTACCTGCGAAGACATCCACATGGATGGAATGAACAGGCTGCGCTCTGGGAAGAATCCCGGTGCAGAATCGTTCGAGCAACTTAGGCGAGGTTTAGGGCGACAAGAGGAGAACTTGAGACGTCTCTATTGAACAGTGTTGCTACAGTATCGTCCGAGTCAATGGGATAGAAAAGGAAGCCGACACATTGCATGGAAGGAGGTCGAACTCCCACACACATGATGCATCCAGCAGTTTGCCCGTGTACATCCCAAGATCACGACAAATCTTGATTCAAGAGAAGCCGTAAGGCACGACGTCAATTTCAGTAGATGCAACAAGCCTCCACAGTGCAAATGCATGTTCGACTATAAACCCATATTCTCACGCCCGGCGGATAAGGCTCTGTCGGAAGACACGGTGGATAGTTCGGGTGTCGTAGACACAATGGCAAAATAGCCGAAGCTTTCCACTTCCACCTACACAGCGCACAATGACCGGCTAGCTTCTGAACACTCCGTGTTCTGTACTACATCACTGAACACTCTTCAGGACACAGACGTCCCTGACAGCCCGCCACATAAGAATGAGATAGAACGAGCCTACAGTCCAGGCCAAAGTGAGACAACCAGCTTGAAGCCAAAATCCTCCGGGCTACAAGTTGAAACTAACGCGCTATTCGACTTGTGACCTCGCCCGACTTGAAGCTAGAGAAGCATGCAGATACATCAGTACATGGATCCATATGCTTCCCGTTGTCAAGGGGAGGGGCTGCATTTGGGTTCATACTTTCGAAGGTGCCTGATTGCGCAGGTGGCCGTGCCGTTTCCCAAGGAGTCCACCGACATGCCCTGCGTGGACCAGCGCTGCTCGACCTCGTGCCAGAAGGCGCATTCCTCGGTCAGGGCTTGGACATGCGGACTTCAGGCTGGCTTGGGCCTGGAGAAACCTCTGTCGGTCACGAAACTGCGCAGTGGCCATCGAAAACCCTTTAGCACACTTTGTGCAGCCTCATTTCCCTGACGTGCCATCCGAAAGCAATTCTGCAAGCAATTGTTCGAACATCTCGTGCCAAACTACTGCCGAGAGTCCGCAGAAGGATCCTCTTCGAGAACCTGCAGCCCGAGCCTGTGAGAGCAGGAATCGGCCGTGAGGTCTATGTGGCGGTGATGAAGCCCTCATGAAAATGGATGAACACACTGGCAACAGGTTGTGCTTGCAGGGCAATAGCCAACCCACTGTTTGGGAAACTGAGTTTGAAGTGTAAAGCGTGCGGGCTCCCTTGACCTCGTTGTGTTGGCAGTTCAAGCAAATGGAAAGTGAAAGGATACCGGCTCCCTTCACCACGTTGTTGGGGCAACAAAACAGGACGCGACACGAGGCAGCGCTGTCTTCACCCCGCTGTTTGCGCAACATCACACACACTTCACCGAGCTTTTTGGGCAACACCACTTTCAGGTGAAAGGAGGCCGGGCTTTCCTTCATCGTGATGCTTCGGCAACAAACGTCCAGAGGAGGTTGGGCTCCCTACACCCCGCCATGAAGCCAACAAGAAACGAGGGCCGGGACGGCCGGGGGGCTGAAGAATGATTGCAGGTCTGTCAGAGCCCACCAGGAAAGAACTGGCAATCCTTCCGGGCCGGGTAGAGCTGAAGGATTTTTGGAAATCTTTCAAAACCCAGCGGGTGGGGCTGAAGGATACTCGGAAATCCTTCAGGATCCACCCGATTGGGGCTCAGGGATTCGGGCTCCCTTCACCCGAGTTTTCGGACAAAAAATGGGAGGTGAAAGGAGTCCACGCTCCCTTCACCACAGTTTTCGGGCAACAAAGAAAGAGGGCGGGGTCCCGTCACCGTAGATTCAGGCCACAAAGCCGGAGGTGAAAGGAGGCCTGATTGTCTTCACCGCGCTGTATTGCCAACAGTGAGAAGGCAGGGCCACGACACAGGATAAAGCTTCATTGTCGAGCTCTTCTATGAAAGGCTGTAAATGACTTCGGTTGCGAACTCTGCCAGAACCTCAGCGCTCCTCATCTTTGTGGACATGCAGGATTCCAGAAGGCTGCATCCCTTGTGCAGTGCATGTCTGCTTGTAATTCCTGAAATGCAAAGAGCCACTGTCAAGGAAAGACTTGACGAGCCCAGAGGATATATGCATCCATGACATCAGTTTTCCAGTGAAAGCCCTAAGAAGACACCAAGACTTATGACACCACTTTGCGAAGTCCCCGGGTCCTGATCGGATCTTCCGATGTCGTTTCGAGCACAGCGCCCTCAGCGTTGAAGAAGTTCATGCTCCTGAGCTCTGGAACCCGGAGCTTCGCATGACGAGCTGCTCCTAGTGCTGGGAAGCTACGTCTCCCGGAGCAGAACATGGGTTCGCATTGTGTCGAGGGACATCCATAACGGTGTGGTGCAGAGCAAACAAAGCAGGTCCCTGCAGGTGGAAGACACTCTGGACTGACTGTTGCCGTGTGACTGTGAGGGTGCGTGGCACGGACCTTTGCATGCCTACGCCTGTGCCGCAACGCCTTGGAGATGCTTGGAAGATGTTCTAGAAAACACCTGTCCGAAGAAAATGTGTTCCCGATGTTCGGAGGTTGGTGCCGAAATAGTCGTCGTTCCGCATTAAAGCCAGGCGGCAACGGATCCGCAAGCAATCGGATGCCCTGCGGCTCACTCGCGGCAGCGAGCAGCTTGTACGCCTCAGCTCGAAGAAATTGAGTTTCAGCCAGCTCAGAGAACATGGGCTGAACCAGTTGCAGTGCGAACCGGGCCGGCTGGGGATTGTGTACTGCACTTGGAGGCCTTCGGCTATGGCCTATCTGTATGCTGATTGACGCCCGCTGCCCCTATCCGTTTCCATGTTTGTGCTGTCTCCAGATATCCAGGGCTATGGTACAGGATGTCGTCATATCAGCCCTCATTGAGCTCAATACACGGACCGCCCTGCTGATAGCGCTGGAAGCTAGAGAAAAAGCCCGACAACCCGAAACCCTTTATGCAAGGTAGCATGGGCCTTGCAAGACTGCGCCAGCTGATAGCCCTGTTAAAAAAAACCGGGGCAGTATCCGGTGGGGGACTTAGCTTCCTCAAGGCTTTTGAGTCACGGTTCCACCCATTGATCCATACCCCGTATACATGTTGCTTTCGTCTGGACATCTTTGATAGGGCCCTTGGGCCAGAATGGTTGCATCCGAAGAGGCCTACTTCCAGTTCTGCGGATCATGGAGACTTCATCGGGGTTCCGTTTGAGGACTGCCGTGCAACTGCCACCATTGGGCCGCATGTTCCGAATATGGTGTTGTGAACCCGAGCATTGTATGAGCCCCTCTGCAGGACCTGAAAGCCGCCAAAACACAATGCCATGCACCGCAAACTCTGACAGAAAGCATCTCACAAAGGGAGTACCGGTGCCGAAACGGACGGCTTGCAGCCGGATGGCAAAGGATTCGTTCGTGAAGCTCGCAAGGCTGATCACGATGACGTCGTCTGGATCTGTCTGAAGCTCCCGCAAGAAAGACACCTTGAACGTAGGGCCCCGGGCACAAGTTCGGCTTACACTTCACTTTCATAGAAGGAATCCAAAAGGCCAAGGCCCATCCACTCCGTATCCCTTGGATATCACCAACTCCCGCACACGGCGAGGAGTTGCCAAAAGGGGAGTGTAGACAAGGGGATAGCCGCGTGATACAAGAAACTTGCCCCTCCTTAGGTCGAACCCAAACAGTTTGCAATCATTCCCCCTATAAGCCCTAACCCAAAACCATCCTCAAAGTTTTGATGACGTTTCTGAGGCTCAGGTCTCAAAGCATCAGGGGGCCCAGAAAGCAATTTCACAGAAGATTCCCCCATATCATTTCAATGAATTCCATGTAGACAGGAAGAGCCACCGAACCCGGGCAAGCTTCTTCAGTACTCATAGGATCCCGGAGTCTGTATGTACTTTCAATGCATTCCTACATCAAAACTACAGTATCCACCCAGCCCAACAAAATGAGCCATCTGAGAGCCCAGTGATGTAGAACTGTAGAACCGCCACGGAAGCTTCTATGTGGAATCTTCTTGCGGCCAGGTATCCGGCAAGTCGATCTTGGCGTTCTCGTAGTCCACCTAGTTCATGGTTGGGATAGGATTCAACATGTACATTTTTTCCTTTCTGGGTTTAAGTACCCATAAACAGGCAAAATGATACCCAACGATGACGAAGCCACGATGACCGAGGTGTCCGTGACTCGATAGGCGTAGGTGCCGATGTCCGAGCCGTCAGAAGCCTGAATGGATCAGGGTTCTACTCCGGCTTAAGCCCACAGTATCATAGTAGTATAGTAGTAGAGTATTATAATAATTTAGTAGTATAGTATTAGAGTATTAGGGTATTATAGTATAGTATTGTAGTAGTGGTGTAAAGACCTCGAGAACTGACGAAAAAGAGCGAGCAGCTGCAGGCCGCATGAGCATGCGCGGGCAAACAAGATAAAAGGTAGAATCGTAGCCGATTCGTGAACAAACGCAAAAAAGACCCCAGCGCTGTGTTGATGCGGTTGAGAGCCAAAAGCAAGCGAGATCGAAACTTCAAGTAACCTGTGCAAACAGAACCTCCACAAACAAAGACATTCTTAAACACGCACGCATAGGCATAGTCCCCATCGGAAGCTACAGGGAAATATGGCCAAACTGAGAGCATCGTTTGAATCTTTTGCCTTGGATGGGAAGGGGTATATAGCATGTTATAAAGCCTACGGTCTAGAAGCACAGGCAAAAACACAGCTTCAAAATCACCGGCTCAGGGCTGATTCCTATGTACCATGTCACAAAGCTTCCCTAGCACGCCTTCGTGATGAGCTTGAGAAGCAAGCCATCCTCCTCGTTCCCCGTCGTGTTCATGGGCGACATCTCGGCATCCTTTCCCCACAGGAAGCTAGGGGATCACAGGCAGTCTGGTCCACATTTTGTGGCAAAAACAATGCAGAGGGGCGGACATTACACGTCACAGATGAATGAGAAAATCTCTAGAGCAGTGCTCTGAATCTCCTCCAGCATCTTGAAGACTCGGTTCGCAGCACGCGCCTGACGGCGAGCCGAGGCTCGCACCGACAATATCGAGTTTTTTTTGGCAGTTCTGGTTGGGAGAATCCCAGGAGGTGGTAATCACTCTACATTCGGAGACTCTGCCTGTCCTTTCAAAAGGCCCTATCTACGCTTGCCAGCTTTTCTCAATACTAAATATGCCTTCTTGCCAAAACAATACAAAACAACATGTAGTATAATACAACATATATAATGCATTGCAACACATACACAAGAATATGCTGCAATCAAAATAAACGTCTGACTTTGCATCTATTCCCTCCGCAACCCTCGAGCCGAGCCGGATAATCAACGAGAGCTTGAGTCGAGCCGGCTCAGCTATCCTGAGCCCCTAAGCCCTAAACGCAGCCCTCCAGGCGCTTGTCCTGCCCCCCTTCACCTCCCAAGAGTCCTGCGAGAAATTGAGATTGTAGTCTCGTGAGGTGGGTACATCGTTCCAAAGGCTGGGTCGGAGCCGGCAAGGGGCGACTGTTAGTGTTGCAAGCATCACCTCACGGATACCTTACAGAAACGCTTGCCAAGCATCCCTACTAGTTCTAGATCACTCAGCGAACCTCTGAAGCACACATGAAGTGCTTGAAAGGGGCGTGCTCCAAAAGTGCATCCTTCCGAGAATACAGTTCGGCACGGGACGTATTTCACACAACAGAGATTCGGAATGAGAATCCTTTATCGTCTTCCTGTACACGTGCCGGGGCCTTTCGCATCTGCACTGCCTGCACCTCCTGTGTGGCTTCGGAAGCCAACATGTCAACGCTTCCTCGCCGCACGGCTTGATTATGACGGAGAGGGAGCTGTCGGGGACTCGAGTTTGCTGTACGCCAAACACAAGCTGAAATTTTAAGGCGTGATGCTTTACCGCATGCCGCTTGCACGGGATGCTTCTGGGGTACATGCGAGCACTCAGCACTGGTTCCCCTACAGCCGCGGAACCCCTTCCTGGAGCAGATTAACAAAATTTACTTCCCAGCTTTGTAAGCTGTCTTCAAGCTTCTTAGGCATGGAAGCTGCTCGATCACACAATGCGGTGTCATTCCGAGTTTGTAACACACGGCGTCCCCGAAGTTGAATTGGACAGCTCTTGCCTGCGGTGAACGTCAAGGTCGTAAGGGTCGTGCTTGAAGACGTCGAGCTTCGAGAGGTGCTGGTTGTGGATGATGTCGTTGTCCATGTGGTGGTTGACGAGGAAGTGCTGCTGGAGCTGCTGGATGTACTCGAAGATGAAGTTGACGTGGAAGTGCTGGAGGACGATGAAGTGGAGCTGGTAGTCGTAGTTGACGTGGAGGTGGATGTGCTAGTTGTGCTGGAGGCTGTAGAGCTTGTACTTGTAAACGAACTTGAGGACGAGCTGCTGGATGATGATGTGGTAGAGCTGCTCGTTGTAGTCGTGGAAGTACTAGATGTACTCGATGTGCTTGTGGATGAGCTTGATGTAGAAGTTGTGCTTGTGGAGGTTGTGCTGCTGGAGCTGCTTGTCGTACTTGTGGAAGAAGTGGATGTACTCGTAGTGCTGGTGGACGTTGTGCTGCTGGATGAAGTAGATGTGGAAGTTGTGCTTGTGGAGGTCGTGCTGCTGGAGCTGCTTGTCGTACTTGTGGAAGAAGTGGATGTACTCGTAGTGCTGGTGGACGTTGTGCTGCTGGATGAAGTAGATGTGGAAGTTGTGCTTGTGGAGGTCGTGCTGCTGGAGCTGCTTGTCGTACTTGTGGAAGAAGTGGATGTACTCGTAGTGCTGGTGGACGTTGTGCTGCTGGATGAAGTAGATGTGGAAGTTGTGCTTGTGGAGGTCGTGCTGCTGGAGCTGCTGCTCGTGCTCGTGGAGGAGGTAGATGAACTCGATGTGCTAGTGGATGAGGTTGATGTCGAAGTTGAGCTTGTGGAGGTGGTGCTGCTGGAGCTGCTGGTAGTACTTGTGGATGATGTGGAAGTTGTGCTTGTAGAAGATGTGCTGCTGGAGCTGCTCGTTGTGCTCGTGGAAGAGGTGGATGTGGTTGTTGTGCTGCTGGTCGATGACGATGTAGACGTTGTGCTTGAAGAGGTCGTGCTGCTGGAGCTGCTGGATGTAGTCGTGGATGAAGTTGCCGTGGAAGTGGTGGACGACGATGAGGTGGAACTGCTCGTCGTGCTCGTGGATGATGTCGATGTTGTTGTTGTGCTTGTCGAGCTGGACGTGCTCACAGTAGAAGTGCTACTGGAGCTGCTGGTCCTGCTCGTGGAAGAAATGGTTGCACTCGTTGTGCTGGTGGATGTGGTGCTAGTGGTTGAAGTTGAAGTGGCAGTTGTGCTTGTAGAAGATGTGCTGCTGGAGCTGCTTGTTGTGCTCGTGGAAGAGGTGGATGTCGTTGTTGTGCTGGTAGAAGACGTGCTGGTGGATGAGGTTGACGAAGAAGTCGTGCTTGTGGATGTTGTGCTTATTGAGCTGCTGGAAGTGAGGGAGGTTGATGTGGATGTAGAACTGCTGGATGTGTGTGACGAGCTCGTGGATGAAGTCAAAGTCGCAGATGTGCTTGACGAAGACGTGCTGGAAGTACTGCTCGATGTTGCTGTTGTCGCGGTGCTGGATGTCCTTGTAGATGATGTTGATGTAGACGTCGCGCTTGTTGTGCTAGATGAAGTCGCAGTCACGCTACTCGAGGTGGATGTCGTGAATGTCCTGGTGGAGGAGGTTGTGGTGGTGGGCGGAACGCCGAAATCGATTTCTGGTAAGTTGTCCCCCATCTCGGCCGAGCTAGTGCCGAGATGCCCAGTGTCTCCCAAGCCATTCTTGCCAAAATCACCTGCTCGGGAAGTCTTGGTTGTGATTGTTAAAACGGTGACAAACTTCAGCGATGAGTGTTTCTAAACTTACCCCTGATTCAGATTGCTTGCCTCGTCCCCAGCATTTGACTGCGTTGTCGTTCAACAGAGCACAGACGTTGTACTCACCTGCAGAGACCTGGTGCACGGTCTTGCCACTGCCCACGTCGACTGGCGGAAGAAAGTCTCCCATTTCATTCGGCCCATCACCAACCGTTGCGACGGTTCCACCCAAAACACCATACGTCGTGCCATCCCCCCAACATTTCAGGGTGTCATCGTTCAGAATGGCACACACATGGTAACGGCCGGCAGTGATTTGCTTCGCTGTCTTTCCAGTGCCCAGATCAACGACTGGAGCATCTGTGCTGGCTCGGTTCTGCGTGTCTCCATATCCCAGGACACCCTTGGAGTCAGAAGCACGTCCGAAGCACTTCACGGTGCTATCATCGAGTAGGACGCATGTGGCATACTCTGCCAGCGCCATTTGGGTCACCGTGCGACCTGCTCCCACATCGATGGTATCGAAGCCCAGGCGTGCCTGACTGTTCTTGCCGAGCATGCCGTTGTCTGCACGGCCCCAGCATTTGGCCGAACCATCCGTCAGGATGGCACAAGAATGCCAGAAGGATGCGAACACGTCGGTTGCTGTAGTTCCTAAGTTCACTTCCGGCAAATGGTCTCCGATGTATTCGGGAGCATGTCCCATCATGTGTGGCGATAGGCCGTTGCCAATGCGCTCGTAGTGGCCTCTTCCCATGCATTTCACGGCACCGTTGTCGAGGACCATGCATGTCCATGTGTCTCCACATGCCACCTTTGAAACGGTACGCCCTGAACCCACATCCACTGCAGGAAGGTTTTCACCCATCTCACCTGCAGCATCACCACGGGTCAGTTGGTCTCCCTGTCCCGTTTGGCCCTGACTTCCATGGCCCCAGCACTTGAGAGAGCTGTCATCCAGCACCGCGCAGGCGTGCAGCTCGCCTGTGCACACATGTGTCGGCGTTCCACCCAAGTCAAGCACCGGGGTGACGGCGATCATGCTGCTTGAACTGTCTCCTCTGTTGTCGGTATCGCCCAAGCCGAGCTGCCCGTGACTGTTGTACCCCCAGCACTTCAACTCGAAGTTATGCATCAAAACACACCCCGAGCTCGTCGCTGCACTGCGGACCATCAGCTCGTGCGGTATGTACGTAGGCGGGCCGACCGTAGTCGTTGTGGAAGTAGTCGTTGTCGTTGGTGGGGCTCCGAAATCGATGTCTGGCAAGTTGTCTCCCATCTCGCCCGAGTTAATCCCGACATGCGCCGTGTCTCCCAAGCCGTTGGTTCCAAAGTCACCTGCTCTGTGAGTCGTTGGAACTGAGTGCTGGGATGTACTGCGGGTTAAGGGGTTGAGAAACCTTACTTGTACGTCCAAGCGCCTCGTCCCCAGCATTTGACTGCATTGTCGTCCAACAGAGCACAGACGTTGTACTCACCTGCAGAGACCTGGTTCACGGTCCTGCCACTGCCCACGTCGACTGGCGGAAGAAAGTCTCCCATTTCATTCGGCCCATCACCAACCGTTGCGACGGTTCCACCCAAAACACCATACGTCGTGCCATCCCCCCAGCATTTCAGGGTGTCATCGTTCAGAATGGCACACACATGGTAACGGCCGGCAGTGATTTGCTTCGCTGTCTTTCCAGTACCCAGATCAACGACTGGAGCATCTGTGCTGGCTCGGTTCTGCGTGTCTCCATATCCCAGGACACCCTTGGAGTCAGAAGCACGTCCGAAGCACTTCACGGTGCTATCATCGAGTAGGACGCATGTGGCATACTCTGCCAGCGCCATTTGGGTCACCGTGCGACCTGCTCCCACATCGATGGTATCGAAGCCCAGGCGTGCCTGACTATTCTTGCCGAGCATGCCGTTGTCTGGACGGCCCCAGCATTTGGCCGAACCATCCGTCAGGATGGCACAAGAATGCCAGAAGGATGCGAACACGTCGGTTGCTGTAGTTCCTAAGTTCACTTCCGGCAAATGGTCTCCGATGTATTCGGGAGCATGTCCCATCATGTGTGGCGATAGGCCGTTGCCAATGCGCTCGTAGTGGCCTCTTCCCATGCATTTCACGGCACCGTTGTCGAGGACCATGCATGTCCATGTGTCTCCACATGCCACCTTTGAAACGGTACGCCCTGAACCCACATCCACTGCAGGAAGGTTTTCACCCATCTCACCTGCAGCATCACCACGGGTCAGTTGGTCTCCCTGTCCCGTTTGGCCCTCACTTCCATGGCCCCAGCACTTGAGAGAGCTGTCATCCAGCACCGCGCAGGCATGCAGCTCGCCTGTGCACACATGTGTCGGCGTTCCACCCAAGTCAAGCACCGGGGTTACGGCGATCATGCTGCTTGAACTGTCTCCTCTGTTGTCTGTATCGCCCAAGCCGAGCTGCCCGTGACTGTTGTACCCCCAGCACTTCAGCTCGGAGCCTTGCAATAAGAGGCACCCGGAGCTCGTCGCCGAACTGCGGACCATCAGCTCCTGCGGCACGTATGCTGCAGAAGCAGGAGTCTGCAAGAAAATCAGCCATAGCAGGGCTGAGCGTTTGATTGCGACGGCCATGGTGGCTCGGAAAAACCCGCCGTCTTCTCAAATAAAGCTTCACCGGCTTCACGTGCCTGTCGTGAGAGAACGTGAAGCATGGAAAAGGTTTTTGAGGCTTCTTGAGCATTCAAGATATGGCAGTGCTTTCATTAAGAGCATGCTTGGAAACATGTGTGCAGGAGCTATCTTTGTTAGGCAGAAGCGCCAGATGCGCTCCAATGTGAGAATGAAGCTGACCTTCTCGGCGAGAAAAAAAGCTGCAGGGCAGGGCTCAAACGTTCTAACTTGCAAGTGGACATCACCTACTGAAGCTCCGGTTTGGCCTCGCCCCTGTCACAGTTCGGGCAGACATGGGGAGAGCACGTGCCAGCAACGCCACAGCTACGGCTCCAAAGATCGAAACCCGAACGATCCGAACACGGCTCTATCAAGAAGATTACTTGGATTTTGTCTACAATACATAGGGAACTATGGCTTTCCCAGTTTACTCTCCTATCGGAGAAGTAAGGAGAGATGGCACCATCATGAGAGGCGGCATTGATCTGCGAGACCATCGCAAACTAATCAAACGCATGCCGTCTTTCGGGTTTCCTCAGACTCTACTGCCCTCACATGGGCAGGTGGTTCTCAGCCCTCTGCGGAAGTGATGTACATACAACCGGCCTTCATGCGACCTTCGTCAGGAAACGTTCATTTTCGGGCGTCACGACTCAAGGCTTAAACAGTTTCGGGTCTGCAACCTCACAAGGAAGCAGGTTCAGCAAGGGAGGTTGTGAGGCCTTCAGTCCAGCATGGAGACCTGAGAAGTGGCGCGAATATCGCGAACCACCTCGCCCCCAAACCAATGGGAAACTGGATTGTAAAAAACCGGCCCACACCATCCTGCTGACCTAATGTTAAATGTCCAGAATTTTCCCCCCTTCTCAGGGGACGCGATGCCTCGGTGGCATCACCTTGCAGTCTTTCATCGGCCGGCCAAACGTTGTCCACTTGGCAATCGGCCCGTTGTGCTGGAGCCCGTCATAGCCGGTAAACATCTCGGCGATGACGCCGTCTTTGTGGGCCACGGTGAAGTGGTGCCCATCGAAGTCGCCAAACCGGTAGTTGCCAATCTGCACGAAGCGGTCGCCAAAGCTCACACCCCTTGGAGGTCCAACGGGACGAGCCCAGATGGCCTTTCCTCGATGATGCGACTTTGCGTGGACGTCTGCTCCAGGCACCAGACCCCCGTTGTGATTCCAGAACTGTATGACATCGAAGTGCCTATGAGTGAGGATCACGGAGTCGTAGCCTTGCCCTTCGTCCGCATCCGCGCCAAGCCGAAAATTACCGATCTCAATGAAGCGATCTCCGAACTTCAAACTCCCGACGTTGGCATGGTAAAGCTCCTTTGCCTCCCGCCACCAAGTGTTGTGACGACGGCTTGCATCTCCTCGAGGCAATCACGGATTGGACTTCGCAAGTATACAGTCGTGCATGGCAGGCATGATAGAACCCAACTGAAGATTGACCTCCGAAGGCCCACACACTTCCGCAGGCGTGCAACAATGGGATTTCCCTCCGTCTTGGAAGCCACCGGCGAATTTCCGATTTCGAGGGCCTCCACAGCCCTCCTTCCAACGTTCAACAGAGCCCCAAGCCGGACACCCGAACTCCGACGAGTGTCAGCTTGCACTCAGCTTGCTGTTCGGGCTTTTCTCAAGGACTCCGGAGCTAGATTCTAGATGGTAGAACACTTGGGGGCTAGGACCACTTCAACAGGCTGGCAGAAAGGGAGGCGATTCGAGCATCGGGCATGGCTGACTTGACTGCCTGGCCCTCTATAATCCAGGCTCGGCCTTCCATGGGACGGTGGTAGGTTTGCGGTTTGCATTTGCCAAGAGTGGTGATGCTTCACAAGAATACAAGCACAGTTTGCAGAGCCCTTGTCCGCCGAGGTTTGTCTGCAACCCGCCGTCGGAGAAGAACGCCTTGGTCGTGGACACTGGAAAGCTGGAAGCTGAGCGGCAAAACTTCAGAGCCAAGAACAAAATCACCCTATAAGCCCTAAACCCTGAACCCTACAAGCCCTCAGCCTTCAGCTTTAGTCCCAGAAGCCTTGGAGACGAGGCCGGATCGGTGGGAGATGGAGAATGCTTCGGCCCAATAATTGCCCGTAGGACTCACCCGATATTCCCAAGCGCTCTGCGCAATCCGGAAGTCACCGATCTGAATGAATTTGTCACCTGACTGTCTCTCGAAAGGTTCCGGGCTTTAGGACGTTAGGGCAGTCAGTCCCGTCGGCCTTGCCTGCCGTGATTCCAGGACATAGCCCCATGACATCCTCTCGTTGACAGGGTTGAGGCGGCAAACGTGTCAGGATTCAATTAAAGGGCACAGGGCGGGCAGGAGTCTACGACTGTAGGCTGGTAAGGACTGGGCTTGGATGTATCCTCCAAACTGCTGCAGTGGTACTGCATTGGCCGGTAGATGACGTGGCGCGTGAAATCGTTGTAGTCCTGGTTCGTGTGAACTTGTCCGGACGAGGTGAAGCGGCTCACGGTGTGCTTGAGATGACCGTCCACATGCGTCAAAAGCAGATCATCGCCCGAATCCATCTGCCCGATCCGGAAGTTGCCGATCTGTAAGACTCGATCCCCATACATGACACGTGTAGGCCCGGCACGCCCGGCACTGTCTTTGTTCGCGTGTTCTCCCCACCAACCGCTCCACTTCTCCGAGGCCGCTTTGTCGTGCGTTTCCTTGCCTAACCACATCGTCGCGTCATGGCCCCGGAAGTTCACACCGATGAACTCTGGATGAGAGATGCTCATGTGGTTCTTGTCCCCTGCCATAATGCGGAAGCTCCCAATTTGGATGAAGTCCTTGCCGAAGGTGATGCCGTAGGGGAAACCAAGCGGCCTTCTCCAAAGTTGGGGGTCATTTCTTGCAGGGAACACCGTGCCATCGTGCCTGTACATGTGGGCGTTAATGCCATTCCTGTGACAAATCCCGAAGTGGCCCGTGTCAAGGGCACCCAATCGCCAGTTTCCGAGCTGGAGGAACCGGTCACCCCAACCTCCCCAGCTCGCGGTGCAGGCTCCGTGCGCCAGCTCGCCCAAGTCCGGACATGTCCAGTCAGCGAGACGTTCCCTCAGCAAGTTCTGCTGCAGGCGATGAAGGCCTTCATGATAGATGTTCGGATTGTAGACGTTTACACCGCCATCGCCGAGGAAGAGACTGATCATGTGCCTGCGCGGACTCATGAGGTAGAAATGATGCCCGTCCGTGTCGCCCATCCGGAATTTGCCGAACTGCACGAACCTCAGGCGAAGGCAAAACTCGCTTCATCTGCCTAAACAGATTCGGACGACATGAAGTCGAGCAACCCCAAGCCTGGAACAACAGCAGCGTTTTCTGCACTTACAGCCTACTCCGCTTCACCACTTTAAACTACAAAGCCTTCAGTTTCAATCCCAGGCACCGCTTTCCGAATGTCAAGCCGACTGGAGGTCCTTCGGGACGGTCAAGGACGTTCCAGTCCTCAGCGGGCAATAGAAAGCGAAGTGCCGATCAGGGTTTCTTTTTGCGATTACGCTTCTTTGGAAGGTGCCTAGGCGGTCAGGGGTTTTGTGCGCCCGGAGACTTAGCGATAGATTCTAGTGTTAGACCCGAGGCTTGTGGATGTCAACCTGCATCAATTGGACCCGTGGGTGGTGCATCGGGTAGACAGAACTCTTGCAAGGCTGGAAGCTTCTCCCAGAACCGAGATTGAACAAATTGCGCAGCTTAAACTAAAATCATTCTGTTGGCTCTGGGACCGCTGCCGGCGGTTCAGTGACATGGACCCACGGAGCAAGGTGCACTTCGGATTCGAAGGCAACCGTGGAGCTACAGCTTCATGGACTGCAACTAACTGCAATCCCGCTTTTCGCAACCGGTTGTTCTACAGTACGGGCCTTCCACCCGAAAGCCAGTGTGCCGGAGCCCCGCATCAGATCTTTAGATCGCTGTAGCCTCAGGCTTTGGGGTGCCTGGGCTCGGAGGTCTACTTCCAGACTGCAAGGCCTATGCCGCGGCTTATGCTCAGTCCTTCTTATTGTGGGGCTGGGCTTGTGCCTCGAGAAAGCCTTAGATCCGAAGCTTTGCTCCCCTGACTTCAGAGTTGAACCGAGAGGCCCTCCGGTGGTTGTGTCCCGGGTGCGTTACGCCGTCAGCTGTGTAGATCACGGCCGTCATCATAGTACGCCGGTGCCTAGGGGCTGTGCTCGTCACAAAGCTATGCATATGATCGGCATTTCAATGCATAAAGAATCCGCAGCAATGCTTGGCAGTCAAACAGTCAGACCATTTCTTTACTGGACCCTTCATAGGAAGACATATGCTTCACCCACTCACTCTTCAGCGTTTGTAGAATGAAGGCCCGTTTGACATGCGCAGGGTTCACGGGGTAGGATCTTGACCATAAACAGTGCATGACTGCATGGCGAAGGGTGCCTACTAGTTACTAGTAGCAAACGGTGATGGTACGGAATTTCTGAATTACGCCGCTGATGCTGTCTACAGTCTATAGGTCCTTCCGTACTGGGCCGTGCAGCCACGGGAACGGAAGTCTCCAATCTGGATGAACTGGAAGCCAAACTTGATGTTAACGGCTCCTCCCAGGACAGGCCTCAAAATCACGCAGAGATGCCACCAGACATGTCTGACATCGACTCTGCGACAAAGCTAAGCCCCAGTCGTCCGGGTCCAGAGCCCGTGATGCCAGTTGTGCGGACCATGCTCAACGTGTCCGTGTTCCGTCCAGAAGACGGGGACCAGGCCATTCTTGGTTCTCGAGCTCTACAGTGGCACGACGACTAGGGCATGCCAGGCACATGCTGAAACTGAGCCTGGGGCCCTGTGCGCAATCACCAGACGTTCGTGGCCGTGGTGTCCATGTCCCGTGACTCCAATGCGGAACTCACCAAGCTCGATGAAGCCATCACCCATTGGGAGATCGTGGCATGCCTGCGCCGCTTCGGTCCGCTGTGGAGTCTGACGGACATTTTCCGGTGGCACGGTCGCGGCCTCCTCGGACGGGGGCGGGGGCGCCTGACCAGCGGTCTTGCACCCGAGGTCTTGCGCGCATGGCCGGCTGTTGAACTCATTCTCATCGGCTGGAATTGTTTTGACCACTGCGCAAAACAGCCGCTGAGGATTTAGCAGCTGGACCAGCGGGATTTGCCAAGGGAGGCCCAGTGCAGAAATAAGGCCCTTGAGTTTCCCAGCAGCCACATCTGCGGCTCCGTTTACGATGTCTGTCATTTGGCTTCCGCCGGGAGCGCATTGCGCTGGTCCGGTGATTACTCTCATCGTCGCTTTCGCGCCTTCTGTCATGGCCCTTTCCAGGCCCCTGACAAGAAGTCGCGGTCGAGAATCTCCCGAAGCGGAGGCGGAAGGTTAAAGCCGGTGACCCCAAAGTCCGAATAGACGGTCATGGCCTTGGTTAGCAGCTGCCAAGGCACTGCTCGGCTCAGTTAATAGAAGGCTACCTCTAAACGCCGAAATACGCACCGACTTCGAACACCCAGACCTACTCCATGATGTGGACCCGGAGGTTAGTCTTCTCCAACTCATGTTATTCAATTTCGGGGTTGACCAGCAGCACTCCTTCAAGAATCCTGAGCCAAAGCCCTCACCTAAACTAAGCCGTCACGTCCAACAGCCAATCGTCCAACCTTCGATCTTGGGACCCGGCTGCCGCTCCACACAATGGTAGCCACGGTGGCGCATTTGCAAAGTCCTCCTGTATTTGTCTCTCGCTCGCTTTCTTTCTCCCCCTCCCTCTCTGTCTCCGTCCCTATCTCTCGACTCTCGATGCGTGCGTGTGTGTGTGTGTGTGTGTGTGTGCGTATGTGTGTGTGTGTGTGTGTGTGCGTGCGTGCGTGCGTGCGTGCGTGCGTGCGTGCGTGCGTGTGTGTGTGTGTGCGTGTGTGTGTGTGTGTGTGTGTGTGTGTGTGTGCGTGTCCGCGCATGCGTACGGCACACCATAGACAAACAGACAGCGAGACAGACAGACAGATCTACATACGTACATTCACACATGCGTACATAAATACATACACACATACATACTGCATGCATGCACTCATTTTCTCTCGAGGAGGTCAGGCCAGGTTTGGGGGACAGTAAATGCATTACATGACAGACACACGACATGACCTGAAATGACTTACATACCATGCCATACCATATCATATACTTACATTAGGTGTTTGATCTTGGGCGACGCCGCATAAGTGAAAAACACATTCCCGCAGATATTCTGCGTTGTCGTCCATGTCCATGACAATCATTTGCCATCAGAACTAAATTTCAGTGGCAAACCGTGTCCTGAAGTGTTGCATGGAGTGCTGCCGTGCATCTACCCAGCCCAACCGAGCAGAAGAGCATAGTGATACATTGTACGTAACAGCCCGTCCTGGAGGGAGAGGCGAACCGCGGTCATGTTGGAGCTCATCTTCGCGGACTTTTCGACCAGGCCAGCAGGACCTTTCTTGTGCCAAACGTCGTTGTGTTCCGAGTGGAACTGTCCCTAGAAATCCGCCGAGGCTTCGTGGTTCAGGTTCAGTATCTTCCCATCCCCTCAGCTCCCCTTCCCTGAAGGTTGAATGAAAGCCGGTGCGAAACTGTGTGGCTGCCAAAGCTTTTGAAATCCTTCCGGAGCATCTCGTAGGGATGAATGGGTTTGACGAAACTCAAAGAAACAAGCGAACCGACGGCACAAGAAAGAGCACTGTTATTTGGAATATGATGACTCGACAAACACGGCAGCTTCAGCTACGCCTCACGGCTCGAGAGGGGATGGACCGCGAAAAGAGAAACGTCTCAGGCGCCTTCTTCCAGTGCCTCGCGATGAGATCTGCAAAGCTCTGGGCATGCCAGCAGGCAGCAACATTCGATTAAAGCGCGCATACGCAGCATGGCAGGATGTTTAGAATGCCGAGCAGTTCTGTTGAAACGATTGGGAAACAGACTCTTTCGTGCGGTGTGGTGTCCAGGTGACCCGCGCCACAGCGACAGCACTCGACATGGGCTGTTCGAGATGGAGCATCAGCTCCAAGCGTTGCAAGGACCGCGCAGAGCTGGCACCAGTATGTGGAACCTCACGTGTCCGCCGAGAGTCTCTCCTTCTCTGGGAAAGCCGCGACGGAAGCGTGTGTCCTAGTTTGCGGAACTCGTTTCTTGGCGACACAAAGTACGGAGAGCACAAGAGATCCATGTGCCCCCTGGGAGCGACACTCGCCATGAATGCATACGCGGATGCTTCAGACGGCCATCGACCACATGCGGGCAGTACGCAAAGGCGTTGTTTCAAGAGCAGTGCAACTATACATTAGCAAGATCGACAGGTCATTCCACTGCCCAGGAGCAGCCGCACCCAAATGAGGCGGTGAGGCGCATCCCAGGGGCCAAACGCAGACTCACGCAATGTCTTCGATGTCTTCGACTATGGATATCAAAACCACAAAACAAGGGATCGAAGTAATGTAGAACTCTTCGGACTCAGAGAAGCACAGGCGCTCCTTCTCCGCTCTCCCAGCTGCCATCCCTTCATCTCCACAACCTCGTGCTGTGACACCCTACAGACCCCACAGCATGTCTTCGTGCCACGCTTGTCAAGCAAGTTTCGACGTGCTGCAACCGTTTTGCGTTGGCGAAGTGCGGTTGCGCATCGTTGGTGTGAGCTAAACTCCCATACCCGACGGCTTGGATCGCTGCTTCTGCTCTTCCCCGGTTGAGGCGGGTGCGCGTAGCGATGAAAGTATGTAGGACTCTCAATTGAATTCACACTAAACAAAATATGGAAAGATTGAAGCGGGCCCGCATCTCATCCGAGCCGAAAGGCGCGGTGGCTCTTCTGGGTAAAAGAGCGTGCCGATGGCTTTGGCTTCGGCATGGATCGCGGGGTGGAAGGTCACAGGGATCCCTGGCATAGGCCAAACCTGCCATCGGCTGCACGCCTACAACGGTCTCCGTGGTGTCTGTCTGTGCCCTAGCCTCCCACATCCACAGGGTGGAATCTGAACAAACTCAAGAAGGGTCTGCTTCATCTCCGGCTAAGCTCTGTACCATTCCCAAGCGACAACTATTTTGCATCCTATGCCTGCCACTGAGCTCGGGGCCACAAGTTGCGGCCCCACGCTCAGTTTCACGGAAGCTGAAGCGCTGACCCCGACCGCCCATCCGTCCTGGCATTCTCTGAGAGCCGGGATTTTCATTCCCAGAACATGGAGCCGGGCCTGGTGCTGAAGCTGAGGACTGCTCACATGAACATGGACGTCACGGGCCCAAAGCGGTCCCTTGTGACACGGCCGGTGGCGACAAAATCGAAATCCGCGTCGTGCGAAGTCTCGACTGTTCCTGTGAGGGTGCCCGACACCTCCAGTGTCGCAAGCATCTGCACCGCCATGACGATACCTGAGATCAACAGCGGCGACAGCTATGAGCTTCCCTTGGGTTCAGTTCAAATAATTCCAAGCGAAGAGTACATGCAGGTCACAAGAGGCAAGACAAAGGCTGCTTTCATGCATGCAGGCTGCAAAATCCCTTGGCACAAATGGTCTTGGTTTTGGGCTTCTTGGGAAATCCCTTCGAGGCCTTGTAGGAGCAACTGCCCTCTGCTGTGACCAGTGCATCCATCGACGCCCTCACCATGCCACGGACGGTGAAAGTCGTGGTCTCAGCCGTCGCACCCAACTCAACCTGCAAGACCCTTGACCTTCCCTACCAGTGCTGAGAAAGCTACACTCTAACCGCCCATTCCCCACAGCCGCAAGTAGCCTCTGGGGAGGTCAACTGCACCACGCCATCCGCGGCCACGCTGAGCGAACCCTCGCAAGATCCTGCAGGCTGCGGAGCCTGGTAATCCTTAGTCGCTGCAGGACTGCAGTATAACAGAATCTGAATCTACGCAGGCAGCCTCGATTGCGCTGTGAGAGGCTCAGGGCTTTAGCGTTCTGAGGGCCTAACGACGAGGTAACTAGAGCTGATTTTGGCGACCAAAGCTCTGACAGACTGCCTTGTCTGCCTCTGGCGTGATCCCTTTGCACGTCTCTCATGGTCTGCCGGTTCTGCTCGACAGTCTCCCGCAACCTCCGAGCCTCGTTGCGCATTCTGTGGGCTTGCTCGAAGTCCTCCCCTGGAAGGACGTTGGCGTCGAGAGTGGGTTCTCCCGAGCTGTCTATAGAGCCTGTCGCCCGGATGCCATAGCCTTTGGTAAAGACGGACGTGTCATTGAAGATGCACTTCATCTGCACACCACCTGTAGACGGCCTCACGTAGCTTCCACTGCTACAGTCACACTGCTCGCCAATCAGCATCTCACACAGCGACCGACGGCCGCCGCCAGCAGTATCCTGGAGGCAGTCCAGGAAGCGCCTCAGTCGGTTCCAAGCCTCGGAGTGTTGGCAGGTCGGCGGAACACGCATGAGGACTCAAGCCCAAGCTTGACTGTCGACTTTGCCCTTGTGCCCACTTATGAACTTATGAACAAGAGAACAGTCTGAACAGTCCTAGGGACAAGCACTAAGAAAGGATCTGCCACTTTCTTACCGCGACTGCAGCAGTTGACGAACAAAGTGAAGGAAAACGAGGAAGATCGCAACAGGTCATGGCGACAAAGTGTGGCTCGGCTGCCGCGGAAAGATGTGCAGTCGTGAGTGCTGCCGTCCCGGAGATCTGCATGGCCGGGAGACGGACATCGCAAGCAGAAGTGCAAGCTGGATTTTCGCGACTCGCGGAACGGCTCAAGAAAAAGACAGGATTGCTCAAGTCTCGGTGCCAGAGCGATGAAGAATTTAATCGAGACCCAAGACGACACTGACCCGTTAAGGGGCATGCAGACTCGATTCCTAATAAGGTCCGAGAAACATCTCCCACCAAACCAGCCGCCAAAGGTCCCACCGCGTCAAGGGCCGGTCCAACGAAAGGTTGGAGGACTCCGCCCACCTGTCTGGTGTCAGGGTCTCGGGCCCACCCGTCGCACACTCGAATACTGAAGCAGCCACTCAATCACCGAACACTTCCGGTGTCTCACCATACTTGTATGGCTGATGCTGAGCGTGCACCGTGCGAGGTCCAAGTCTTAAGCCCGGAAGAAACCCCGCCGATCATGACCAGAAGGACAGCGGTTGCAAGCTGTTTCTGAAGCAAATTCCGAAAGGCTCAGCTTTACACTCTGAAACCCTCCTTCATGCCCAGCCTGATCGACCATTGATAGGCCGCGGCTAGCGGCATCCTGCAGCGACTGCCGCACCTGATCCACGAGGCCACATGTCGGCTACTGTGGATTCCGAAACTCCCCCGGCTGCATCTGTTCGTGTTCGTGAAGGTACACATCACCAAAGAGGGCCGTGATGCGAGGGGGTGCAGCTAAGCGTCTTCCCAAGTCCATCGTGGCATCCATGACATTCTGACCCATCTCTCGCACCGCACCGACCACGTTACCAACCTCAGGGGTCGTGTTTGCGATACTACGATGGAAATCCATGGCCCATGGCCTCCAAAGCTGGACCTATCACCGCCGGGGGCAGCGAGAAAACATCGCCCACTTCCTGTAAGCTCTCCAGCGGTGATTCCAAAATGCTGTTCCCGATCACGACAGCTCCGTTGGCAGCAGCTTTGCCCATCTCCAGGCCTGGGCACTCTATGGGTATTTACGGGTCTACTAGGGGCAGGGAAGCGCAACCCAGCCGCCTGCATCTGCTATCACTCTGCCAGCATCTTTGACAGTGTTCGCGAGGCTTTTGAACGGATTCTTTTTGGCCGCCACAACGTCGAGAGACTCGTCTCTGGAAGTGTTCATGCCCTCGTCCGAGTCCATGGCGGTGGATGCACGGGCGAGCAAGCCACTCGATACGGAGTCCGTCCGGAGTTTCATCGAGGAGTCGTCCGACTCCTGCAACGATGCCCGTCTGCGATGATGCATATGCCATTGTCGGTCGGCGTGTGGAGAAACGAACTAAATTTGTGTTTTTAAGTGCTTGTTTGGGTGTGTAGGTTCGGAGGTGGTGAAGGGCACCTGCGCCAGCTTCATGGCTGCAGCAGGCAGCATCGCCCTCAGAGGCCTGAGGCTTCAACTGACCAGCAACAATAACAACATCAAGAACCAAGTCCTTGAAGCCGCATCTGAGCTCGGCGCCACACCACGGCCCACCACGGATATAGCTTCATTGCTTCAGAAGGAGGTATGGAAAGCCCCAAAGGGCAAAACGCCGGGATAACCTAGTGAGTGGGACTTGGGTGGAATCACGGCTGCCGAGATGAGGAGCTGGGGTCTGAGGTCTGGGGTGAAAGCCTCACAGGTCCAGGCAGTAGTCGTGCAGATATTGGAGTACATGATGAGCTGGAATCCTGATGGGAGCTTTGTTTTCCTCTCTACGCCCACATCTAGCGCTTAAGGTTCAGGCTGGAGCTTGGCAGGGCGCTCACTCCGAGGCCGGCGAGGTCAAACTTCGGGCCTCAGCGTCGGCGACCTGGCGCATGAGTGCTGCGTCTTTTATGTGAGGCTACATGCCGCGAACAGTTTACGACCGGTCGCAAAAGAAAGGGGTCCCTGGAAACTCGTACATGATTTTAAAAGTGCTTGTGCTGGTGCACCCCTTTTTGCCTCGTGGCCGATCGACCGTCCGTCGTCGTATGTATGTATGTATGTATGTGTACGTGCATGCAGAAGAAGAGAGACGACAGAGAGACCTCGCTTTGTGGAACCCATGGCTTGGAACGGGCCTCTGATTGTAAATGGTTTCGTCTCCCACTTTGGCACACGGCAGGAACAAACTTTTGGGTGGAAGCTATAGTTGGACTTCCAAGCCCCAAGCCTGACAGCACCCGCAGACATCTCGGAAGTCCGACTTTTCCCAGCCTGAGCCTGCTCGGGCGAAGCAAATGCAGTCTTTCACTATGTGCTCTCTCGCAACATACAGTAGCTTGCGTGTTAAAGGTTGTGGTTGTGGTTCGGTATAAGATCCAGCTTGGGGTCGAAGCCGTCTGTGCCCGGAGCGTCAAGGCCTCCTTGCATGCCCTGAGTCTAACTAACGCTCGGATCTGGGAAAGAGGGAAAGCAACGTCAAGAACAGGTCGAAGTTGAAAGTTGGATATCTCTCTCTCCGTCTCTCTGCCGTTGCATCCAGAGGGTCTCTAGAAAGTTGGATATGTTTTGACAGATTTCGGGAGCGTCTGCAGAGCTTCGATTGCCCCCCATTTGCAGGTTCGAAGGATGCAGGAGTGGGGGCGTAGGATATGTCACCAGACGTCTACATTGGTGCGGCTGGCTTCAGGCATGCGAAGACACTCTACAACAATGGCATTGCCAAAATATCGCAATAACAAAAGCTGGAAACCGCAGGCACTTCCAAACGATTCCCAAATAGCTTCTTAGAGTTTGTCACTGGCACCATTACGGCAACTTTCAATGCGGTAAACGATTTCTGACAACATTCTCGTTGCCGTGTAATCTGTAAACCCCTTTCACCCGCAGCGCCAACTTCTCAAACCGCAAACCAAAGCTTAAGCTGATTCTGCACCGCCCCGAATTTCGCACTTCCAAGGCACGAACGCCAGTGCATGAATCGGCCGCTGCAGCGTCTGAATTCTCGGCGCACGAATTCATGGTGCTCGAATCTTGCAGGCTGAGCCTGTCCCAGTCCCCATTATTCCTCAACCCCCAGGTAAGGAGAAAGCATAGCGTCAAGACCCGGTGGCCCCTTTCGAAGTCGATCCTAAACTACAAATCCCATCAGCAATCCTCCATCCTACCTTAAACCAGGGCAGGCTTCGAGCCCTAAACCTTGAGCCACAGGTCAGGGAAGAAAGCTAAACATCCACGGGCCAGCTGCCCTCAGCCCTATGCGCAAGTGATGTGAGTGTAGCCAGCTTTCATCCTGGAAGCGGTCTTCATTCGACCTCTGGCAGGACACGTTGATTCTCGGGCATCAGGACCCAAAGCAAAAAACAGTTTCGAGTCAGCAACCCCACAAGGAAACTGGTTCGGCAAGTGTGCTTGTGCGAGCCCGAGTTCCTGCCCAGCATGGACGCCTGAGAAGTGACGCGAACCACATCGCCCCCAAACCAATAGGAAACTGGTTTGTAAAAAAGGTCAAGCCGGGAATGCGAAAACCAAACAAAGAAAGTGGCGCAAGAATGGCAGTTCGCTCGATGTTGTCTTGTCGCACCTGGCAATCTTCGAGTTGTGGCAGCCGCTGCAGTCGCATCGCTTACACCCGACACAACCATCCTCCGCTTCAATGCCCGCCATCTGACCCCTCCCCTCCCGTCATTCCATCACTCACGTCCGAGCCCGTCCACCGTCTAATCTTCTAAAGCTCTTCCGGCAAGATAGGGCCCGATTTTCGTTGGAGCACTAACCGAGAACCCAACTTTTCGGGAAAAGTGCGTCACACGGCACTCTTTTCGCCGTACACGGGCGCTAGTGCTCTAGTGGGGCCAGCGGCCGGCGCAGGGAGCGAGGACTTCCTCCAGACCTTAGACTTGAAGGTACGCCGGGATCCGCGGGTGCAGCCTGGTCCCTGCTTACATTAGGGGACCCGATCCCTCGGTGGCATCACCTTGCAGTCTTTCATCGGCCGGCCAAACGTTGTCCACTTGGTAATCGGTCCGTTGTGCTGGAGCCCGTCATAGCCGGTAAACATCTCGGCGATGACGCCGTCTTTGTGGGCCACGGTGAAGTGGTGCCCATCGAAGTCGCCAAGCCGGTAGTTGCCAATCTGTACGAAGCGGTCGCCAAAGCTCACACCCTTCGGAGGTCCAAGCGGACGAGCCCAGATGGCCTTCCCTCGGGGGTGCGACTTTGCGTGGACGTTTGCTCCAGGCATCAACGCCCCATCGAAATTCCAGAACTGTATGACATCGAAGTTTTTATGAGTGAGGATCACAGAGTCGTAGCCTCCCCAGGGCACTTCGTCCGCGCCGAGCCGAAAATCACCGATCTCAATAAAGCGATCTCCGAACTTCAGACTGCCGGCATCCGCATGGTGAAGTTCCCTCGGCTCCTTCCACCAAGCGCTGTGAGGATGAGGACGGCTTGCCTCTCCTCGACACACTCACGGTCACGGGACTTCGTAAGTCGTAAGTATGCAGTATGCAGTAGGTGCATGACAGACATGGTCGCAAGAACGACCCTCTCCTAATTGGAGTGCATAGAACCGACCCACACACTTCCACAGGCGTGCACAGATGCACGAGAACAGCTGCAGGATTGGATTTCCCACTCATCTGGAAGCGGTTCCGACTTGTCCCAAGGACGAAGAAGGAGCTAAAAAGGTGGAACACTTGAGGGCAAGGAGCACAGAAAGGAAGGCTGCAACAGCGCACAAGATCGAGCATCGGGCATGGGCAGGGCTGTTTAATATGCCTGGCCCCTTCTAACCCTCTAAAACATCCAGGCTCCCACCGCTCCAGTTGCAGAGGCCGACGCTAGCTTGTCTCAAGCCATCCGGTCCAAGAACAAAGGCTAGATGCATTCAGTTTCCATGTGCGCAAAAGCAGATCCAACCCGTAAGACCCATTGAAACACATCCCTGTGGTTTTCAATAGCCCTTGTCCGCCGAGGTTGGTCTGCAAAGTTCCGTCGGAGAAGAACACCTCGGTCTCGGACAGCACTGGAAAGCTCAGCAGAGCAGCAAAACTGCACAAGCCCTCAGCTCATCTCCGGTCCCAGAAACCTTGGAAACCTTGCCGGATCGGTGGGAGATGGAGAGAGCGCCGGGCAGGCTCTGCGCAATCCGGAAGTCACCGATCTGAATGAACTTGTCACCTGACTTTCTCTCGAAAGGTTCCGGGCTTGAGGACGTTAAGGCTTGCGCTGCAAACCTTCCTGCCTCCTTCCCACGGAAAGCTCAAATCCTTTGCCCGAAACCCGTCATGCCAACTAAATTTCCAAGTTCCAAAGACTCTGGCGTCCCATCCGCCCTGCCTGCAGTGATTCCGGGGCATAGCCCCATGACATCCTCTCACAAGGTTTGGGCGGCAAAGGTGCAAGGATTCATTGTAGGGGCACAGTATGGGCAGGAATTTACAACTGTCAGATTTGGACTTGGCTGGGAGGCCCAGCGACCAAGAGTCCTCCAAACTGCTGCAGTGGTACTGCATTGGCCGGTAGACGACGTGGCGCGTGAAATCGTTGTAGTCCTGGTTCGTGTGAACTTGTCCGGATGAGGTGAAGCGGCTCACGGTGTGCTTGAGATGACCGTCCACATGCGTCAAAAGCAGATCATCGCCCGAATCCATCTGCCCGATCCGGAAGTGTCCGATCTGTAAGACTCGATCCCCATACATGACACGTGTAGGCCCGGCACGCCCGGCACTGTCTTTATTCGCGTGTTCTCCCCACCAACCGCTCCACTTCTCCGAGGCCGCTTTGTCGTGCGTTTCCTTGCCTAGCCACATCGTCGCGTCATGGCCCCGGAAGTTCACACCGATGAACTCTGGATGAGAGATGCTCATGTGGTTCTTGTCCCCTGCCATAATGCGGAAACTCCCAATTTGGATGAAGTCCTTGCCGAAGGTGATGCCGTAGGGGAAACCAAGCGGCCTTCTCCAAAGTTGGGGGTCATTTCTGGCAGGGAACACCGTGCCATCGTGCCTGTACATGTGGGCGTTAATGCCATTCCTGTGACAAATCCCGAAGTGGCCTGTGTCAAGGGCACCCAATCGCCAGTTTCCGAGCTGGAGGAACCGGTCACCCCAACCTCCCCAGCTCGCGGTGCAGGCTCCGTGCGCCAGCTCGCCCAAGTCCGGACATGTCCAGTCAGCGAGACGTTCCCTCAGCAAGTTCTGCTGCAGGCGATGAAGGCCTTCATGATAGATGTTCGGATTGTAGAAGTTTACACCGCCATCGCCGAGGAAGAGACTGATCATGTGCCAGCGCGGGCTCATGAGGTAGAAATGATGCCCGTCCGTGTCGCCCATCCGGAATTTGCCGAACTGCACGAACCTGAGGCGAAGGCTTTGCTGCATTCTCACTTCATCTGCATCAACAAAGAGAAAACAGACGAGGATGAAGTCGAACAGACCCCGGTGCGAACAACAGCAAGGCTTCCCGCTTCCCTACTCGAAACCACAAAGCCTTAAGTTCCAATCCCAGGCACCGCTCTCCGAATGTCAAGCCGACTGGAGGTCCTTCGGGGCGGTCAAGGACGTTCCAGTCCTTAGCGGGACATAAAAAGCAGGGTGCCGGTCAGGGTTTGGGGCTGTGTATCGGCACACAGAAGGATCGACAGCAATGGCGGACAATTGCCAGAGGATTAGAACGACTTGTGAACCTGACGCAAGACTCAAACTCAAGTGCGACTTATGGACACACGGAGCGAGGTGAGCTCCGGATTTGAAGGCAACTGTTGAGGTACGGCTTGAAGCATTGCAACTAAGTGCAAGCCCGCTTTTTGCACGGCCCTCAACCCGACAGCCGCCATAACTGAGCCCCGTATCAGGTCTTTAGATCGCCTTGGCTTCATCGCGCTTCATGCCTCAGGCTTTGGGTTGCCCTAGCTGGGCTTAAGTCTTATTTTGGGATTGGGCTTGCGCTTAGCTTGGTTCCCCTGACTTCAGAGTTGAACCGAGAGGCCCTCCGGTGGTTGTGCCCCGGGTGCGTTACGCCGTCAGCTGTGTAGATCACGGCCGTCATCATAGTACGCCGGTGCCTGTGCTTCCAAGGCTACTTGTGGTGTCGGCCCTTCGAAGTGAAAGTGGCATTCACAAGTTGCAGGAAAGGCTTACAGCGCACGCCAAGCCCCAGGCCATCTTACCGGACTCGTCCACAGGAAGACGGAAGACTCATCACTCACACACTCACTCAAACTTCAGTGTTTGTTTGGGTGTCGGGGTCTTGATGCTGAGCGGTGCCGAGCAGACAGGGATGGTACTTACGCCGTCTTTTTGTCTATACACCCTCCCGTACTGGGCTGTGCAGCCACGGGAACGCAATCGAGAAGTGATGGTCATCAACAGCACCGATGCGGAAGTCTCCAATCTGGATGAATTGGAAGCCGAACTTGATGTTAAAGGATCCTCCCAGTGCCAGGACAGGCCTCGAATCACGCAGAGATGCCACGAGACATGTCTGACATCGACTCTGCCACAAAGCTAAGCCTCGGTCCGGGCCCAGAGCCCGTGATTCCAGTTGTGCGGACTGTGCTCAACGTGTCCCTGTTCCGTCCAGAAGACGGGGACCGGGCCATTCTTAGTTGTCGAGCCCTACAGTTTCACGACGACTCGGCCATGCCAGGCGCATGCTGAAACTGAGCCTGGGGCCCTGTGCGCAATCACCAGACGTTCGTGGCCGTGGTGTCCATGTCCCGTGACTCCAATGCGGAACTCACCAAGCTCGATGAAGCCATCACCCATTGGGAGATTGTGGCATGCCTTCGCCGCATCGGTCCGGGATTGAATCTGATCAACATTTTCCGGTGGCACGGTCGCGACCTCCTCGGAGGGGGGCGGAGGCGCCTGACCAGCGGTCTTGCACCCGAGGTCTTTCGCGCATGGCCGGCTGTTGAACTCGTTTGGATCAGCTGGAATTGTCTTGACCACTTCGCAAAACAGCCGCTGTGGGTTTAGCAGCTGAACCAGCGGGATTTGCCAAGGGAGGCCCAGTGCTGAAATCAGACCCTGGAGGTTCCCAGCAGCCACACCTGCGGCTCGGTTTACAACGTCTGTGATGTGGCTTCCGCCGGGAACGCATTGCGCTCGTCCGGTCATGTCTTCTATCATCGCCGTCGCACCTTCCCGCATAGCTTTTGCCAGGGCCTCCTTCAAGAAGTCATTGTCGAGAATCTCCCGCAGCGGAGGCGGAAGATTGAAGCCGGTGACCCCGAAGTCCGAATAGACAGTCATGGCCTTGGTTGGCAGCGAAGATTTACATAGTATGGGCGCCCAACAGAAACCCTACACGGTAACATAGATGACGTCCAACCTTCGAGCTGGGCCCCAGGCTGCCGCGCCACAGAGAGGCAGCTTTAGGGTTCGCTTTTCGAAGTCCTCTTTAGCGGTGTAGGCTTGCGCTTGTGGCACTCTACTCCTCATGGCATGTGCGATAGTCATGAAAGAAGCATTCACTTGCCGGGTCCATGGCTTTTGCAACACATCGCATGGAGCGCGGTCTTACATCCATTAAGGCAGTTCTAGCAAACATGCCCCATGCACTGGATTCTACGTAACAGCCCCGTCCTGCTCGAGGCGAGCCGAGGTGATGTCGGAGCTCGTGTTGGCAGACTGCTCGATGAAGCTACCGGGACCTCTGATTTGCCGGCTACTCATGTCTGCGTAGAAGCGTCACTAGACATCAAAGAAGAGCCTGTTGAAAATGGCCTGCACATGTACTCTGCCCACCTGCGGCGCCTAGACTTGGTATCAGAATCGCCTTTTTTTGCCCCGGACAAGTGGAAGCCCACACCGGTGCCATTCCCTGCCCCACCCGGCTACCCCTTACTCCAGGTGCCTAGCTGGGACTTGTGGAGGGACGGGGGGGATCCGAATGCAATGTTGGTGGATTTGGGTCCAGAAGCATCTTCGGCAAACCTTGACAATCTAGCCCCTTGGACCTGGAGCTCGTGCCTTGCACACTAGGGCAGTTCCTTCGTTCCGATCGCGAACTGATCGCGTGGATGGCACAGGATGAGAGCTACTGGACTGAGGAGACAGCAGCAGCGTCAGAGAGCAGGCTGAAGTACTCAAGATGACAGGGTAATGCGAAGGCGGGCCGAGGAGAGCAGTGAGAAGAGAAACAAATGGACATGGGAAGTGCGATACATTGTGGCCGCCGAAACGATTGAAATTTTTCCGATTCATCTCCAGCCATCGAAAAAGCAGGCCACAGTGATGCGAATTTTGACACGCTCACTCAAGGACGCTCGCGGCGCGACAGCGAAGTCTTGGGATCCTTCCTTTACAGCACCCCGTGATGCCTCGACAAATACGCTTCTTCCAAGAAGTGACAACATCCCGATCTACTCCACCATACGGTCTTCCGGCAGGTTGCCGTTTGGTGGACGCTCCCTTGGAGCGGTACAAAACAGTGCTTGAGTGTTTGGAAAGTTTTGGCCCAAAGTGGCTTTGGCCATGCCAATGAGTTCTTGTGTCACAGGTAGCGATGACGACAAAGGGTGGCAGGATATTCCGAAAGACATACAAAAGTATTTTCGCTGAAACAACTGGGAAACAAACTCTTTCGTGAGGTGCGGCGTCCAGGTGACACGAGTGGCACAGCCAGGCTGCTGGGACGCCACTTGGACGGGTTGCACGAGATTGGGCATCATTTCCAGCCGTCGGAAGGACCGCACAGCCGCTGAGCTCACCCGAAAAGAGAGATGATAGAAAGAGCACAAGCCGAAACAGCAGTTCAGATTCGATCGATGGCTTCACGCAGCCAAGTTGACATTGTGGGTACCAGCAGAGTTGGAGCTCGTTTACCATATGCAGCACTGCTAGAGAACAGCAAAGGACCCTAGCGAGTTGTGCCGCTACAAGGAGCACAACTTCTCATTGCGCCTCTCCGGCCCCATTCCCGCAGTCCCTTCCTCCTCCGCCCTGTCCTTTCTAGGCCGATATAATCAACTTCGTTTTGTTTGCTTTTACAGCTTGTCTGCGTGCTGCTGCTTGCTGCGTTTGGCATTGAGGTTTCATTTCGTTCTGCCGTAACCACATTGCGCTGGTGCAGTGCGACTGAGTGCCATCGGAGCCACACCCCAAAGTGTGGCTCACCCTGGATCGCCCCGTTTCACCCCGCTGCTGCTATGCTGCTCTTCCCAGGTTGCCAACCCCCGGCCGAGACGGGCTCGACTCGAGTAGCGAAAAAGCAACAAAAACCCACTAAGAGATTCAATGGAAGCTTCGTATCCTATAATATCGTATAATATACTACAGTATACTATAATTATACTATAATATGTCATATGTCACACTATAATGTACTATAATATCCGAGCCCAGACGCGCTGTGGTTTTTGCGGGTGGAAGACCGTGCCGATGCCTTTGGCTTCGGCATGGACCGCCGGATGGAAGGTGATGGGAATCCCCGGCATCGGGTAAACCTGCCGTTTCTCATTGCATGATTCTACGACGGGTCCACAGCAACAGCTACTTCGCGTCCCTGGCCGCTAAGACCGGTGCCACAAGTTGCGGCCCCGCGCTCAATTTCACGGAGGCTGCAGCGCTGATCCCGACCGCCCATCCGTCCTGGCATTCTCTGAGAGCCGGGATGGGGGGGCACTCCTTGTTTGCTCTGTTTTCATCAAACCATGAATTGGGGCCTGGTGCTGAAGCTGAGGACTGCTCACACGAACATGGACATCACGGGCGTTCCCAAAGCCGTCCCTTGTGATGCGCCCTGTGGCCACAACTTGGAAATCCACGTCGTGTGAAGTCTCGACTGTCCCGGTAAGGGTGCCCTTCACCTCCAGCGTCGCAACCATCTGCAACGCTATAAGGATACCTGAGAGCAGGAAGCGCCGACAGTTGTCAGGTTCCCTTCAAGCAGTCCAAGCGAGTCACAACATTCAAGACAAAGGTTGCTGGCATTCATGCAGGTTACAAAATCCCTTGCCGCAGATAATCTTGGTTTTGGGCTTCTTGGGAAATCCCTTTGAGGCCTTGTAGGAGCAGCTACCCTCTGCCGTGACCAGCGCATCCATCGACGCCCTCACCATGCTACTGACGGTGAATGTGGTAGTCTCAGCCGTCGTGTCCACCTCAACCTGCACGACCCTTGCCCTTCCCTACCAGTACTGCGAAAGCTACACTCTACCAGCTCATTCCATACAGCCGCATGTAGCCTGTGGGGAGGTCAACTGCACCACGCCATCGACGGCGACGCTGAGGGAACCCGAACAAGATCCTGAAGGCTGCTTGGCCTTGTAATCCTTACTCGTTGCACGGCTCCCTCTGTGTCCAGGCAGCCCCCGCTGCGCTGGTGACAGGAGGATGCTTTTTGCAGCCAAGGCTCCGACAGACTCTTCTGCCTGCCTCTGGCCTGGTCTCTTTGCACGTCTTTCATGGTCTGCTGGCTCTGCCTGACAGTCTGCTGCAGCCTGAGGGCCTCGTTGTTCAATCTGTGGGTTTGCTCGAAGTCCTCCCCTGGAAGGATGTTGGCGTCGAGAGAAGCTTTTCCCGAGCTGTCTATGGTGCCTGTCGCCCGGATGCCGAAGCCTTTGGCAAAGACGGAGGTGTCCTTGAACATGCACTTCATCTGCATGCGACCTGTAGACGGCCTCACGTAGCTTCTTCCATGGCTGCAATCGCACTCCCGTCCAATCAGCATCTCACACAGCGCCCGACGGCCGTCGCCACCAGAGTTTTGGCAGTGGATCAAGCCCCTCAGTTGATCCCATTCCTTGGAGAGCTGACAGGTCTGCGGAAACACACAGGGGGCCTCAAGTGCAAGCCTGATGTTCGAACAAGATCTCAAGTCTCAGATGGGCTTGCCTTTCTACACCTCCTTTTCGCACTGGTGGAACGGTTGGCCGAATGAGAGAATGGGACCATCTGTGGTCCTTGAATCGTAGGAAATCCAAAGGAAGGATCTACCACTTTCTTCCCCCGGCCGCAGCATCTGACAACAAAGTGAAGGAACGCAAGAGGAAGACGTCAACAGAAGGGTGAAGGACATAGGTCAGAGAAACTAATCATGGTCGCCTGCCATGGAACACTGCAAACAGCTGTGAGTGCTGGGGTCTCAAAGATTACATTTCAAACAGACGGATTTCTGAAGCAGAAGTGCAAGCGGGATGTCGCCGTCTACTTCCACGGAGGTGGGCCACCAACAAAAGCGAAAGGACCTCTGGCAGGGGCCTGTGCAAACCAGCTCACGTATATACGCCGCAAGGCTCAGGAAAACACAGGATCGTCGATTCGTGGCGCCGGAGCGAGGAACCGACAACGGTAAGATGTATTCGAGACGGCGGGGATCCGAACCCTCTGGTTAGCCTTCAGGAGCGTTCAGAATCATCTCCTCAGGTCCGAGAAACCGCTGGAACCAGGCCGGCCGCCAAAGGTCCCACAGCGTCCATGGCATCTGGGAGGATTCTGTCCACCTAACGTCAGGGTCTCGGACTTAGCAGTGGCAAACATCTCTAAAGCCAGGCAACCCACACGCACAAATCCTAGTATTGATATATGTGACAGGACACTTCCAAAGTAAGCTGTGTGTGGTGGCATGGATACCGCAGTCAAGAAAACCTATTCAACACAAATATCTTCAAGCCAAAGCGTATCGAGCAACAGCCCTTGAACAATTCTGTGGGTGTTGCTGACTGTGCACCATGTGAACTCCAATTAAACCCAGAGGACACGCCCTGGATCATGACCACAAGGAATGACGCTGCCATCTGTACTCACAGCGAAACTCCCAAAGGCTTCGCCAACCTCAACTCTCAACTTCCACAGCGCTGGTTGAATGCATGATTGGGACCTTTACTGTAAGGGGTACGAGCACGTTCTCGAACATATAAGGCGGCACAGCTTTACACTCTGAGTGAAACCTTCCATCATGCCGAGCCTGATCGACCAGCGCTCGGCCGTGCCTTGCAGCCTCCTGCAACGACGCCCGCACCGGATCCACGAGGCCACCTGTCTCGGTCCCGAAACTCCAAAGGCTGCAAAGCACATCACAAAAGAGGGCCCGGCTTTGAGGCGATGGGTGCAGCCAAGAGTCTTCCCAAGCCCATCGTGGCATCCACAAGGAACTGACTCACATTTGGGGGCGTGGCATCCCACACGTTACCCACCTCAAGGCATTTTCAGGGGACGGCTTGTGCTTCGCATGTCACGATGGAAATCCATGGCCCGTGGCCTCTAATGCTCGATCCAACACGTCCGTTGGCAGCGAGAGGACATCGCCCACTTCCTGTAAGCTCTCCAGCGGTGATTCCAAAATGCTGTTCCCGATCACGACAGCTCCGTTGGCGGCGGCTTTGCCCATCTCCAGGCCTGGGCACTCTATGGGTACTTACGGGTCTACTGGGCCCAGGCATCTTAACACCCCTAGCGGCAACCCGGCCGCCTGCATTTGCCACCACTTTGCCGGCATCTTTGACCGTGTTCGCGAGACTTTCCAATTGCTTGAACGGATTCTTTTTGGCCGCCACAACGTCGAGAGATCCGTCTCTGGAAGTGTTCATGCCCTCGTCCGAAGACACAGCGCTGGATGCGCGGGCAAACAGGCCGCTCGACACAGAGTCCGTCTCCAGATCCGTCACAGAGTGGTCCAACTCCTGCAACGATGCCCATGCGCAACGCATCTGCCATGCGGGAGTGCACCGCAATTTTGATGTTAGCATGTGCTTTCGGGGTTTCTTGTTTGGGTCTGTAGCTTCGAAGGTCGTGAAGAGCACCTGCGCCAGCTTCATGGCTGCAGCGGGCCCCAGCAGCATGGCCCTCGAAGGGCGTAGGCTTCACTTGGCCAGAAACAACGTAAACATCGATAATCCCTTGAAGTCTTTCGCATCTAAGGCCGGCACCACCCCACGGCCCACCACGGATATAGCTTCATTGCTTCAGAAAGAGGTATGGAAAGCCCACGAGGGCAGCACAGCGGGACAACCCTATGAGTGGGACTTGGGTTGAACCACGGCAGCTGCAGAGATCTTCGTCATAACCCTGACAGCAGACAACCCTCACGCCGCCGCCAGCGTTTTCTCGCCCATTTTCCCACAGAGGGTCGTGGAACTCTCCTCCAGAGCGACGCGAACGGTTCTGCCGCGGCTAACACGCACGCGCGCAGCCCAGCAGAACGGCAACTACGGAGATCGAACTCTTGAGATGTCAAGTCCAAATCAGCAACCCAAACCTCCTACATCCAAATTCTGGAACCTCGCGGTGCCGAACTTTTTCCAACGATGCCGAACGCGCAAATGCCTTTCCGGCTTCCAGCAAAAGGCACGACCTGGCGCAAAGGTGCTGTGCACTCTTACGCAAAGTCAGCCTACTGCGCGGGAACTTCGACATAAGTTCGATCATAACCAGCCGATGGTTTGTGTTGTGTGTTTTCTGATTCACGACTCTTTCGTCTCTTCGGCTTCTCAATTTTCGTATTGATAACAAAGGTGGACTGAGACCTCCGAGTTTCTTTTTGTGTGTGCGTGTGTGCACGGCGTGTTTGCTCTTCGTCTGAAAGGGTGGCTAAGACCATGTAAAACGAGCCGCGATATCACCCGCCGATGCAAACCATCTTTCAGAAGCATCTGCAAGCTCTACGACCACGTCTTCAAGAGTCCTAATGCCTGCGGTCGTCTCGAATCGTCCTCTCAGTCTAGCCCGAAACCACACAACAGCAACGTCCCAGTGTGGATTGATGCTGCAGCCTGGTAAAGCGGTTGGGGGGGCAATATATATATATATATATATATATGCATGCAAACAGATATTGTTTGTAAATACACACATACGGACATCCGTACGTCTATTTTCACAACATCGCGAACGACAGGACACTTGGCACTCGAAACGGCGTTCGCGGTGCTTGCCCCCGATTAGGAAGTACAAGTCTCTTGCCCTCCTGGAGCATCAAACACTCGACGAGGCATTTGTATAATGCCACTGCTGCTAGTGTTGTGGAATGCTGCCAAACGGTGGATTGCTCATCGGAAGGGTGCGCATACTTGCATTCTTTCTCATCTTCGCTTCTGAAGTGTCTTGTTCGAGCGTTTTGCACCTTACGTGCGGAACCGAGCATCCGAGACCTCTCTCTGTTATTTTCTACAGCCCCGGCCCTTCCCACTCCGAGTTCGACTTTACGGGAAGCTCCTTGTATGATGTAGTAACTGAGCAGGGATCCTACACGAGTTTCTCTGTGTATATGAAGGGTGATGGATCAAAAAGCGTAAACCCCAAGGATCGAAACACACAAAACTTGAGTAGCTGCGAAATTGACGCTCAAACATTAAAACCCCCAAGCCCTAGTCACTAGTCCCCAAACCCTCAAACCCATGAAAGCCCTACGCCCTCAAACGGCCAATATGGGGGCCTTAATGAATAAAGTGGTTTTGCATTGCACTGTAATCATAAGAAGGAATCCCCAAATAGTATTGTTGAATATCTACGCCCTTATACTACCCTCAACTGGCACCCAGAAGCCTCAAAGGCTGTGAAGGTGTTTCTGGGGGGCTATATCCTATGATTGCAGAAAGGAACAACATACCGTAAATGTGGGGTCCCAGGGCGTTCCGGCACACGCACCCCTCCTCCCAAGACACTCCGGAGGCCTCATCAGACTCGGGCGTCGCCTGGCGAGATGGGTTGGTTGGTTCTCACGCCGCTTTGGGAATGACTGAACGAATCGAACGGAAGGGATGGGGCTGGGTGAGTGGGTGAGTAGGTGAGTGGGTGAGGGGGTGAGTGAGTGAGCGGGTGAGCGGGTGAGTGGGTGGATGAGTGGCGAACGATTACATGGAGTGAAATGGAATGACATGGAATCTGGTCGTATACCATGGGATGACATGAAGTGTTCTGAGATGCATGCATGCACACACATATGCATGCATGCTTGCATGGAAGGAAGGAAGGAAGGAGTGCGTGAGTGAGTGAGTCAGTGAGTGCCTGAATAAGTGAGCGGACGACAATGACAGATGGACCGTGTTGAGAGAGTGAAGGTCCTTACAAACAGATGCGACTGGCCAGGCTATTTCGGCACTTCTACCAGCCGTTCTTAACATGTACATGTGCAGGGACCTGGGGAGGAGCGACACCAGCCACATCCTCTCCGTGCCCACCCCATGCCATGAAAACCGACCAACATGAACCTAACACCTGAGAGCATTGAACTCTACACCTTAAACCTCAACCACCGAAGCCGTGTGGCTCCAATACCGTTTACACCCAAACCAAAACAGCCCCTGAAACTCCAGCAACATATGCTGTTGACAGCTACGTTGAACCCAACGTCTTCAAGTCTGCAGAATCGAAAGCGCAAGCAGCCAACCCGAAGTTCCTAAAGTCATAGCACCAGGCTTACCGAACTCAGGACCCTGACCTCAAGCAGTAAATCCTTAGCACAATAAACCGCGCACACACACACACATGAGCTGGAGCACTGAATACGTACTTTAATCAATACCCCGTACTTGAATCAAGACTCCAGTCCCGGAGCCCTAGACCCTCAGCCTAATCCATAGTCCGAGACCCTGATCCCTGAGCCCTAAAATCAAAACCCGACGCAGGACTCGGAAGCCTCGGCCCGACATCCTGCCAACTCAGGCTGGGACTCGTAATGTGGACTGATGAACATATCCTAGTTGATTAGCTCAAAGGCTCCCATATGTAAATATCAGTACTCTGGCGGGGTTTGGGATTTGCGTGCTACATGGTTTCATGGTTCGCAGGTTACGGCTTAGTTGGGTATGAACCAAGGATCAAGTCCTTAACCCCAAACCTCTAAGCCTCTAAGCCCCGAAGCTCGCGGAAGAAACTCTGAAACCCCCCAAACCCTACAACTCTGAGCCCTTAACCCCTACCTACCTGAAACCGCAAACCCTATAAAATTATGACTCCTTCACTACCGGGTAGAACCATTACGAAAAGGTCCGGCCTTGAGCCGTAAATCCTGAACGCAAGATCCCCAAACCTTGAAGGTCTATCACTGGAGGACTAGGAAGCTGTCCTTTGGGATTTCCGATGTTACACAGCACGAAGACTACGATGACGACTTGAACAGATGCTGTGCACGCGAGCACCGCAGCATTGAACAGGAACCCACTTAGCGAAAAAGACCGACGGTATACAAAAATGTCGGTCTACAGCAGGCTGTTTGCAGGCGAAACACTGTAAGCTTCAACCCGAGCATCATATCGATGAGCTGATGTAGCATGTCACTTGCTGCGGCCGGCATGATGTTGCTTGTTGACAAGCGTCTCTATGGGCAGGAGCCAACTCAACTCTTGGGATCTACCGGGCATTCAGCACAGGGAGAAGGGTGTGTGTGTGTGTGTGTGTGTGTGTGTTCAGTGATGTTTCCAAGCTTTGGGTTCAGCTGCAGCAAAAGCATGCCTCCTCGAGCAACCCGTCCATGTTTCTTCAAACTTCCACCCCGAGCCCTGTAACTTCCTATGGGGAGCCCACAATCGCAGTGCCCGAGTGGTGAGACCCGGGCCGAGGCCGGGTGGAGGGCCGAGGCTGGGTGGCGGCCCCTGCAGCGAGTGACTGGGACTTTGAGCCCCCTACACAGCGGAAGTTGATGGAAAGCCTGAGCGAAACAGCATCTGGTGCAGATCTTGGTGGTAGTAGCAAATATTCAAATGAGAACTTTGAAGGCTGAAGTGGAGAAGGGCTCCATGTGAACAGCAATTGGACATGGGTTAGTCGATCCTAAGAGAGAGGGATGTTCCGCATATGTAAGCATTGCTTCGCTCCTCGAAAGGGAATGGGGTTAACCGGGTCTTGGCCCCGGTACTTCACTCTCGCAAGCTCACGGTGCGGTATAAGCTGCAAATCTACAGGTCTTGCGTGCAGGGGCCACGGCCCCCCCCCCCCCTAAAAATGGAAACGTGTCATTGAGCTCCAAGGTACGGCGGTGAATTCTCGCCCCCTCCAACGGATTTTGGCTTCTGTGGGCAGTGCAATCGTGTGGCCAATGACTCGGCGCATCAGAGGACCGAAGGGGAACATGATATCGCAGCTCAGAGATGCTCAAGCACACTATGTGGAGAATAGCGTGCTATCACGCATCCAAAACAAAATACTCAGCATAGGTAGGTGTTCGCCTGATCTGTGACACCGCACATCTGTCCAAGTATAAGGCCGAAGAACTCGGAAAACGAGACCAGTTCAACTCACAACTCACTGGGCCTCTGAGAAGCGGACTGGGCACTGCTGTGGGTGTTTGGGACCCACAGCATTCTCAGGTGCAAGCAGATTGCAAGCAGACTCACTGCTTAAGCGACACAAGCAGTCGCACCCCAACGGAAAACAGGCACCACGAGCTCCGTTCCAGCATGCTGGAAAGTGCAGACAAGAGCGGCTGAAAACATGTGCAAGTTGTTAGCGGGCGTTGGTCTACTATCCGGCAAAGGGCTTGCATGGACGACTCAACAGGATACAGTCGCTTCCACATACTCAGTTGGCCAATTGGTATGTTTATTCTGCCTGCATCTACACGCCTGGCCCTTGAGATCTCAAGAGCCTCGTGCCAGTGGTTGTCGGGCTGATGGAAGAGGCTCGGATCAAGCACCACAATCAGCGCCTTTTGCAAACCTTCCGTTTGAGCAACATCATTGCTCAGGCCTGCGTGTATCAACCGTGATACGTAGGGATACTACAGGGGGTAGCTTGCTTACCAAAGACAGTGTCGTGCTTTTGGCCCAAGACCCCAAGCCGCAGCATGCCCAGGCCTGCACATGGTGCCGCAGCGCGCAATCGTGTGGCCAGTGACTCGGCGCATCAGAGGACCGAAGGGGAACATGATATCGCAGCTCAGAGATGCTCAAGCACACTATGTGGAGAATAGCATGCTATCACGCACCCAAAACAAAATACTCAGCATAGGTAGGTGTTCGCCTG